GGGGGGGGGGGGGGGGGGGGGGGGGGGGGGGGGGGGGGGGGGGGGGGGGGGGGGGGGGGGGGGGGGGGGGGGGGGTTGACCAGGAAGGTTGCAATTTATCACAAAGTTTGCGCGAATCTGATACGACAGCTCGAGGACAAAATAAGTTCGTGTATAAGACTAGGCTTTGAAATAGATACGCTCGACAGTAACGACAACCTTGTTTCGTGGCCTGGCAGAATCAGTCAAATGATGTGATTCGAGATTAAGTGATGTTAAGACTTTATATTTTCGATAATTTTGTGTAATACAAGTAAACGGAATAAGATTTGATTTGTCGTAATAATTATAATGAAACTAGTGCAGTCTCTATTTTCTCCCATTGCGCTGATCAATGATAAAATTTCGTAAAACGGCTCGATGCGAATTATAATGATGATTGTTAATACAATAAGGAGATATCGATTGAATCTGAAGATCAACAAGATAGTTATTGTGGTAATTCCGACTGATCGATCAGCTGCAATATCATGAGATTATACGTGACATCACTAAATATTGGATGACATATTCTTTATTAACGTAACATTTGCGTCAGATGACAATCGTCATTTGTTCTGATTGGAAAACATTTAGGCAATAGCACCGTTTATTTCATAACCCAAATAAATGCATATTTGTACGGGGCTAGAACGGCTCACACGTTATAAATTACAAAAGCAAGAATGTTCTACTATTGCTATAATAATTCGCATCAATGCGTGCTATACTCTTTTTATAAATAAGCACCTGATATTTTTATGACGATCCATAAAATTAGAGTGGATTTGTTAATGCAGGTGCTCGTTGGTTAATCATCTAGTATGATTTCTAAATTTGGATTTGGGGCATTATTATTATTATTATCATTATCACCACCATTATTTATTATTATCAAACTCCTTAATCCTATTCTGGTCAAGCATGCCAAGTAAACTCTGATAAAAAATGTCTTATGTAAATGGTTTCGTTTACCCCACTGACAACCTACATAAATGATACTTGGACGTATTTGTCCCTGTTGGTTGTACTATTACGTTTCGGGTCAATCCCTGAATTATTTATTGTCAAAAATACCGAGTCGTGTGACAAGACAAAGTTTCATAGATTTGTGTAAAACATTTTCCTTAATTCGAAAAATCTGATCATCGGTTGCCACACAAATTTGGTAACGATCGGCATGTTAGTTTCGGATGGTGTTCAAAAGCAAAGGTTCTATCATTTTTCTTGCCTTTAAGGCTGCGACATGTTTGACGGTGCTTCTTTTCATCTTTTCTTTCCAGCGCAGTCTCTCTTCTACCAGACTTTGATAGAGAAAAGGAGGGTGATCGTACAGAACAATGCAGTTTATTTTGAGAGCATGACGAATGATGGTTTGTGATTCTCAGCTTTTCAGGAGTGAAAAGAATGTGTTATGTATAAGCTTCCAAAATTAAAATGCGGCACTTTATGACGTGTACGTTATCATTCTCCGCTAAAATGATTGGCCGAACTTCTCAGTAACCTTCGAAAAAAGTCCCGTCTCCCCCATTTTTCTTCTCGTTAAATTACTTTTTTATTCTAATTGCGTTGTTAAGTCTTGAAAATAAACACCTTCTTGTGCTGCCCACATTGTATATTTATCACCCGACCTTGACGTTGCAACTTCAAGCTGTCCATGAATAGGGTTACCATACATTTTATCTATGTTTGCCGTCAGATACGTTTTTGTATCTTGATGCATCAACTGCACCTTTTCTTCCCGAAGCCAGACAGAAGACGATTCCCGACAGATAAGCTTCCAATTATCCCCTATTAGAAGAAGGAAAACAAAAAAAAAATCATTATCACCATGATAAAAAATAACAACTCAATCAAGTGATATATATATTATACCTGTATCATTTCCGTCATATGCACTGACTTCTTGTTGCATTGAGAGGGGTGACTTGTGATTATGACTATGCAAAAACTTTTTGGTTTCGACATGTTGAAGCCGTATAAAGGAATTACATTTTACGGGTTGCCTATTGACATGAAAAAAAATACGACATGCATAGTTTTAATCGTATTCGATACCATCGAAAAATCTGATTTTTTCCAACGTCCGCAGCATACGTACCCTCTTAGAAAGTCTTTCACGTCAATAGTTGGCTTAACCGTCCACAGAGAGTTTGGATCATCCGCTTCGGAGAATCCAGTTACGCTTTGTTGGCCTGATCCACTGCCTACAGTTGTATATGTCTGGTTTACACTCTATCTACTACCAACATGTTTTGACCCCCACTCAACGAAACGTACCATAATTTACACCGTGCGAGTGCAATTTATATTCTGACAGGCTATGCGTCAATTTTACAGCTGAACCATAAGTAACCGCCTTGAATTCTGTAGTCGTAAAAGCCACGGTTAAAAGATAAGTTGAGCTATACAACCACTCTCTGCTGTTGTTAACCCAACAAAACATTACTACATTACATGCCATCTTCTATGTCTGGAGCATCGCCTGCAAAAACGTTGGAAGAGTACAGTAAAAGATATACTGCTATTGAGAAAATTATCCACCGGTTCATTCTTTTTGGTAGAATGTGAACCATGAAACGAAATTTGCATTTGACATTTTTCATTTGGTACATATATTTGGATGAGATCTACACTTTGGGTAATGCAAGAATTTTTATTTGTTCAATTGCCAGACAGAAACACGGACATAAACTACATAACGATAAATGGTGAAAGATAAAGATAACAGCAATGTATAACAAAATATAAGCGAGGGTTATCTAACACATGTCCCTGATTATTATCCAACGTCCTTGCCCCCGTCACTAATGATTCATTATCCTATTGTTCTGAATGGAGTGACATTGCTGAAACCGAGCGACTCCCGTTCAACGAATTCGACGCTGATTCTTGAAGATACTGCATGTGACGTTTCCTCTTGTCTCCAATCATTGGCGATTTGGCCTTGGTCAACTTTTTCTTTGATGGCATAATGATGATTGGGCGATATTTCATGATGGGACGAGCGCGCAGAACACGGTCCTTGCGTAATCGGCGAAGTTCCCTTTCCTTTCGTCTCTGAAGAAAAGAAAAAACGTCCTTGATCAGCATCAACGAAAAGGGATACTACTCCTAATCCAAAACCCATCCCCTTACACACCTCGTCATCCTTTAGCTTTTTCAATCTCAAGTTGTCATAATCCTCTTCACGTTGTTTCCGTTCCTGTTCCATCAACTTGTGATGCTTGATTCGTTCCTCGGTTAAAAAGTAAAAGTCCACGGGTTCAGTTGGTGGTCGTAGTTCGGGCTTTCTTGGAATATCCGGATCGAGGTTGGGAAGTGGCGTTGCTCGGAACTGATTTTCCTTTTCGCGCAGTCTAAGCTGTTCGATTCGTTGCTGGAAAAGATCCTTGTAGTGTTCCCCTCGAATGGCCGTTTGTAGTGTAAATGGTTTGGGTCGTGTTAGTGGGATTTGATGGAAATGGTGTGATTGCTATATCGAAACGGAAAACGGACGGTTATATTATCGTATTATCGTACGCAGGGTTAAACGAGACGCAATGGAGTTATAGTGCTGCGGAGTCATCTCACCTTTGATACAACGTGCGACTTGAACCTTTCGGGTGTCTTTTCTACCAACTCTCTGAGTCGCGCGGCGAGTGGCACGTACGGAGATTTCTGTTCGAGGCTCTGCTTACAGTGAGTTCGTGTTTCATGGAATTTAAACGGCTCTGGTACGGTAAATTGCAAATGCGGTACTTTCGTCTAGTTAATACAGACAAGAGGGGTTAGGTAAAACTTGCGGCGGCTTGCAAAAAAATAACTCAATGAAAATGATTCTGACCTCGTCGGACGCGATATTGTTTGTAGTATCGCATTCAACGCAAGCAGAGACTGAGGGGATTTCAGGACTCTGGCGCTTCGACTTGTCCGGCACTTGCAAAGCACTGTTGTCGTGGTCTGACTCTACTTCCGTGACTTCAATCCTGTTGCGAAAGTCTTGCTCTTGTCGGTCCTCTTGCTCCTCTTGAGCTTCTCGCTCTTTGCAGACTTTCTGTTCTTTGCAAGCTATTACTGTCAGAGAGTGAACGAATCGCACTTGTTAGGTTTTCACCACAACTTTAGAGATGAGTCGACAGCAATAACAGTAAACAAAAGTAATATCTGTTTATTACGTTGTTCTGGAGACGACATGTTGCGTTATGAGCAAGAGTAGTTTACGGAAACCAACTCAAGTTTTTTTTTTGAACAAAAAGTAAATTAAAGAGTAAAAGGCTTGTTTGTTTTGGTTATCCTTATATTTGTTACAATACGCGCTTTTTGAACACGTCTAATTTGATAATCTACAAACGATTTTATGATTCTATGGATTACACATAAATATGATTGGATGATTCCATCAAGATCACTTCCTTTTTAGGTACGCACGTGATCAACTGCTTTTTACCATACGAAAAGAGCCTTTTCTCTTAAACATCTCACTCCCAGTTCTGCCCATTCTTTTTGATATATCCACAACTCTTTTGTAAGGTCCAACTTAGCAGTGACGGATGCACCCTTCCATGCCATTAGACTTGGATTCAGCTCGCGCGGTGGGGAAAGGATTTCCAACTTTTCTGTGATTGAAGCTGCTCGCGGCACCAATCTATTTAATATAAAAGTATTAGCGAATCGTGTTCTCATACAGCCGTCTGTCACTATAAATTACCACAGCTAAACAACATTCAAATACATCGTCCACGCGATGGTATTAAATCATACCTTTCCTCCAACATCTGATTAATCCCCGGTAATAGTGCCCCACCACCAACGATAATAATGCTAGTATAGAACCTCTTCATTCTATCATCCGTCATGGTCGCCTGAATGCTTTGAGCTATGGCGTCGTCTAAAGGCAGTACAGTTGTCGGGTCCACCGTAACTGCATTATTATTATTTGTTTTAGCAGCAGAAGATACTGAAGGAGATGCAGGGTCAGTTGATGCGGGTTCAATTCGGACCGGAGTTGAAGGTAATGGGCTGTCACGAGTTTGAGGTGAAGGAGAATGATGAGCCGACTTGAGTTGAGATGAATTCTGTATCGGGGACGGTTTTTGCTTGGTGAAGAGATGTGCTGGTATCACCTGTAAATGTTCATCGTATGAATTGTTTTCGTTTAAACTTAATGTTATATTGATCATTACGTGCTTACCAATGAATTTGTCCCAGACCCGTCTGTAATGTCATCAAAGATATTGTTGGCGAATTTCGGGGTGAATTCGGACATCTTTTGTTTAAAGTTGATCACGGACGGATAAAATAAGATCTAAATTGATCCAACTGCCAGTTAGTACTTGTAACAGGTCATGAAATACCAAAGATATAAAATGGGTACCATTGGAGCTACTATAATTTCGTCGTACGTCTTGAGCTGATATTTCCTGGTTGGCTCGTTTGGTGCTCGTACAAAAAAGTCATATAGTTGCACAATTAGATTTGCCTATTGATCACCCAAAATTGGAACCAATCGATGAGATTTATTACGTGACAATATGTACTAATGTGCGACAACTATACATGCCTCGTTTAATGAACAAAATTTCTGTTTCATGTCCTCTGCCAGTAGCCAGTCGAACGATCTGTTTAAATCTATATCTCTATACGGAAACTTGCTTTTTTTCAACAATTGCACAAAAAATCTTGTAATGTCATCGCCCGCATAATTTAGAGCAATCCTAAAATGGCAAATCACGAGTCTGTTAATCGCCTATTCAGATTACATGAATCCACGCCTATATATCTTACCGTGAATCCGGTATAATCATGCCGTCTTCAACGCACGAGACACTAGTTCTCTGTGCTCCAATGTCAACCACACATGCTAGGGACATCCCTGCTCCAAAGGTAACACAGACAGACTCTTGTTGGACAAAAGCACGTCGAAAACCCATATATCGTAATAGCATGTTCATCATTTCCGTTACCACCACGCGGTTGTATATATCTGGAATGACCAATATCACAGAGTAATTCTACAAAGACGCAAAAAAAAAGTGTGAGACAAGACACGAATAAAGAGTGCCATGAGGTGGGGTGGGAGAGGAGAACACAATATTTCGGCAATACATTACTCGAAATTCTTTTCTAGCGATGTGAAGATTCTGCTGAATCACTTCCGTCCATATTGTTTCCAGATCACCAACAACCGACTTGATGGAATCATAGTCTCTGGTGTTAAATTCTCCGTATTGAATAGGATATCGCACTTTATAAGAAGTAGCAGTAGTCGGTAACCTTAATGCCTATCATAATAACATAATAAAATCATTAGTAAACCATCGTTGTCATCATTCGACGTTATCACTACAAATTTACTCAATCAAGTACCTTCTCACCAATATAAAAGTCAACGTCTTCGTCAACGGCCGTCCACTCTACTTTGTATGGATCGTTATGATCAAGGATAATCTCTGATTGTATACTCCTATTAAATGAAGTCACTTGTGACGTTGCATTAGCCACCGGACGACGCTTGGCAGCCTTCATCCTCTCTTTTAATTCTTTCTTTAGTTCTTCCACTATTTGTTCAGATTGCTCCTAATTTACATATGAATCACGATGTAAAGACAAGTCAGCAAGTTAAACCACGCGTCAACGATACATCCAACTCGTAGTCACTGTGTGACGTCCATATGCCTCGCCACCTCCTTCTCCAAACATTTCTCAACTAACTAACCTCTTCTTCATCCATGGCATCTTCCGTAACGTCCGACTCGCGAGAAGAATCAGATCGACCACCATCAGGGGACGACTTGCGCTCATCATCATCACGATGTGCTTTATGCTCCTCTCCTCTCGTATTCGTTTCGTCTCTATTTCTGTGCGCATTGTCAGCATTCTGATCTCCACCTATTTCGTTGCTGGACTTTTCTGACTCGCTGGACCCGTCAGTCACTTTAACGTTTCTCATTTTTCTCGCGATAACATGTGGCACGACGGCGTAGGGAATGGCATCGGAAGCGCGACCGATCTTTAGATTTTTTGATCCCGGATGTATAACCAATGTTTTGGAGCCTTCTACTTCAGGCTTTTAAAAAGGTCAGGGCACGCTAAAATTTTCTTTCAAATTAATCTAGTTCTCCTACCTCATTGTCCTCGCCCTCAGACCTTGGCAGTACGTCCGACTCTGTGATTTCACCTCCGTCGTCCTCACTCTCCTTTGTGTCTTCGCTGTCTTTTCCTCCGATCGACTTTCCTTGTACTCGCTGAAAGTAAGATGTATCGTGTCTCAAGAATTTTGACGTTACGTACTTTGTAACGACAGATGGCTGAGCAGCGAAGCTGGTAAACTTCAATTCGGGACGATACGGCTTGTCTATTACCTCAGTGGACGATGGGGATAGTTGAGGTGTGGAAGCGCGACTACCTGATGCCTGTGATCGTGCTGGCGGTTTGGCTACCATGACGTATATGAATGAATACAAGCCAGTGGCGATAGAAGCTTTCTATTTTGCTTGTCTATATTAATATGACGAAAAAGTTGAAGGTCTAAAGACTTTGTGCATTCGCGTATCTATTCACAAGAGCGTATGACCAAAATCTATTTTGGAAGGTTTCCTCTCTGACGTAAGATGGGCTCTGCATAATGGTAATAATAAAGATGAAGATGAAATTATATAACTTTATTTTTGCAGTAGTGGTTGGCGATCAAATCCCTGGATGAGTTTGTCTTTATGGATGTGTGACAGATCAGATTAGTAGGTAACGCGCACACATAATAGACGGATTCAGCTTTTGTAAGACTTAATTTCTATTTTTCAACAAACAAACAAACATTATTGATTTTCAAGAGTTTGCGTCGTAGGAAGACAAGGCAAGGCTCGCTCGCTTGAAGGATCAAGTGACCCACAGTAGATGAAACACGATAAAAAAATCTCAGCAGGTATCTTATCCACAACACACTTGTACATATAACATGTGCCAACGGACAAACATGTAAACATGATGCAAATTCAGGTTTCGACAAGTCGCGATATTCCATTATGGTCTGTTGCCATTTGTTCAACGTTCTCTCTACAAACCAAAGCAAAAAAGCACAGATTATTATAGATACCGTGTTTAGCACGCCCACCTATGCACGTGAACTAAAATGGAAAAAACAATCTCACACCCCGTAAATAGCCCCTGAACATGACTGATATTATAAATAATTATCTGTCAAACAGTGAACATTCACGTTACGATGTGTTCAAAGACATGTCAATTAACTCATACTATTACATAACTTTGCTGCAAATATTGTTTAATGGTGTGCTGGGAGATGAGTGAGAAGAAAAATTCTGATACTAAATACCAAAGGGCAACGTAGTTAGTCAATTGCTATCGTTCTCCCAAAAAGGCGCGATAGAAAGGAAAGCCTCAATTGATTACACAACTGTAAACATCGCAAGCAGATGTGACATCTATTTTTAAAAGGCGGACATGACCGGCTGTCCGACTTGTCGAGAAAGTGGTTTTACCGAGTTTACCTATGAAATAAGACTTTGTCAATAGCCTGAATGTCGCATTCGGCAAAAGATGCTCCATTAATAAGCGCTTCACTCATGCATTAACAATAGATGCTATTCGCTTAATTGTTATCGCATTAACGTTGAACTAGACTTACGTTTCTCATTTTCGCTAATAATTTAACACACTACTTGTAAACATGGCCTAAAAATATTTCGAAGTGTCTGTTGATATATTGATAGAGAATTGTATAGTACTAGGATAATGCGCATAGTTCAAAGACAATCCTTCCATTTCAACAACACAAGTCCCGTTGTTGCGGTAGTCGCTTGCCTACATAAAGAATTTACCTTTTACACTCGAACTCGGCATGCGAATACCCAAAACATCCGATTTACCCTTAAAAAGACTCTGCATATTATGGTTTTTCGGCAGTTTGTTTAACAATTTTGGTCTGTATTCACAATGTTACCAAATTCATTCTTATTCTAATCTACCCACTTTTCGGAATCGAATAGAAAAAGGGAACATCGTGATCACATAATCAGGCACCCAAAATTTCCTGCATAGAAAATTCTACGAACGGGCCGACTGCATATGAAAACACTGACAATAAAATACTTTATTCACAGCATTCTCGGGGCAATTCGCGCTTCTGATAACATTTAACTATTTCTGTGTCCAAGTTAAAATAATATGGTAACTTTGTAACGGGTTTCGGATCCAAATCAAGCAGTTTGGCCCTGTATTCGACGTGATCTAAAAAGTTGCCAACTTCAAGTCTCTTGACATCATCGCTATTAAAAAGCGAGCCGCTCAAAGTGCTATCAGAATTGTCGTCTGGTTTTCGGAAACTAAACATAACAGAGCAATCTTTCAGAGTGGTAGATAACAAGAATTCATACAATAATTGTCGTTGTTCGTCCAGAGTCATGTCTTTCAATGCAAGCGGCCCAGCAGCTGAAATTGGGTAAGAATGGGAAGATTAACCGAGTGCGGAAAAGTGAAATAAAGCAGACCTTCGTAAAGTAGTTAAGCAAAGATAATTACGCATATGACTAGTCTCTTGCGTTCGTTGAAGATACAATTCAACAGTCTTTTTCCATTCTTCCAATTTTGGTTCGAGTAATTGTCCTTGTTGAATTAAATCGAGCATGTATATTCCCTCGATATCCAGCGAATCCAGCGTTTTTTGCAAATAACGTAGCCGGTCAAAAAGCCCTCGCTCGTTCGCAATCGCCTTTATCAAAAGATCTATCAAAGCCTGATACAATGTATTGCTGTAAAAAAATTCATTTCCCTGGTTAATTAATTCCGATCGAATAAAATTCATGATCCCTTCTCGCTTTTTATTGATCGCAAGTATGATGCCACTGTAACCCGAACATGACTAACCTTTGATGGGAATCATTCACAGGGTCGTCAGTAATTTGAAAGAATTCGTTGAGCCTCGTGTGCCATCCATCCTGCATCGAATTACCATGTGTTAGATATATCAGCTGAAAAAGGACTAGATCAAATGTATGAATGTAGAATTAATACCTGTCCAATATCGATCTTCTCTCCTTGTATGAACAACTTAAACTTATTCCCGGCAAGCTTTATTAATTGTGGTAGTGACTTCCGTAACCTTGACTCATCACAAGAAAACAGATCGAGTGGACAATAGTCTATTATCTCTTCTGTTTGATCACCTTGCATGCGTCTGAGATGCTGATGCATGCAGGTTCTGCATGTGAGTCGCTTTACAGAATTCTCTGGTTTGATAAACGAAGATGTGGGTAAAAATCCCCATTTAGGCTACATTATAAAATATTAATAAGAAAAAAAGTATTGGGAAAGATGAGGGTGGTGCGGGTGTGTGTGGAGGAGGGTCAGGAGTGGGAGAGAGGGGGAGACGGCGCGGGGTCAAAAAAAAATTTTTTTTTCTTTTATTCAAGTCTAATGATGCACCTTAAGTTCCACTGCCAAAGTGACCCCTGCGCTTGACGTAAATACAGTATAGTCGGGCATCAACAAAGCAAATTCTTGGTGTATATCGATTCCGGCATGCCTTCTTTTAGCAGGACGGAAGGGCTCTATTGCTTCCGCAAGAGATTGTAAGAATTCTGGTGTTACTTGTAACAATTTCTAAAAAATGTTCTTTTGATCAGTGTCTTACGTTAAAAGCCGCACAGACAAGACAAAAAACTTGGCACATACCGTCTCACCAGTATACTGATTGCCAAACAATGGAACCAATACGTCGCGAGTATACGATATAAGGAAGGAGGGCATCTCGGGCGTTTGCTGCTCACCATGCATAAGGACGCCGCCTTTACGCAAACGCAAAACCACACCTCCCTTGTTTCAAAGATGCGGTAAAAAGCATGAGTAACATGCGTTCACGACGCACATAGAGTTAGGAAGCAAAACATACGAATCTGCCGTGCGGACTCCTTAGGGCCAAAATGACATTGGCGTTGCCCTCGCCTTTGTAGCGCCAAAGCGTTGGGTTGCAGAGTTCGGGCACCGTCTCAACATGCATATCCCAGACCATTTTCAAGAACGGTCCAACGCATAAATAGTTAAATATGTAACTGTGATTGACAAATATGGTTAGCAACGAATCATGCAAGTTTGCATTCGAATAATCACAGAAATATAAAGCACACACATCAATTTTTTTAGCCCAAAGCCTTTTCCAAAAACCCTTTTCACTTTGCTCCGCTTAACCTAAAGAGAATTAAGAGAGTAACAAAATGTCACAGCGTCAGGTTTTTGTTTCGGGAACTTTTTATTTACCGGTAGGTAGGGTCTACATGAGGACGCGTTTGGTATATACTATAACAAGGCCCGTTGACTCTGATTACCGACTTTCACATTCACAGGCGAGAGCTGTTGTGCGAGAATTATACAAACGTCTCGGAGACACTGTATCAAAGGTGCGACTCGGAACCCATATAGGGCAAATGCCTTTGGACTTGGCGCGAGGCGGCAAGATATGTCGAATAGACCCGGCAAATATAGAGAATGTAAGGAACGCTTTGGAGGATGTGGAAGCAGCCTTCCTATGGCAGGCGCCAAATGAACCCGACCATTTGTTGAGGGACTTTATTGATGTAGCAGAAGAGAAGGGTGTGAAGAACCTTGTTATTTTATCATCGTATCATTCTCACCCTAATTCAGGTCAAGAGATAGAAGCATACGTATCATCCAAATCTATTGCTCAGTACACGTTGCTTCGTGTACCATTTTTCACGCATCATTTCGACATTTATAAAAACACCATTATCAACGACAAGATTCTACCATTGCCGATTGGTACGGAAGGCAGCTTCGCGCCATTAGATGACCGAGATTTTGCAGAAGTGGTTGCTACTCTCCTGGTTTCACCAAATGACAATCCGCATCATCAGGCAACATATACGCTGACGGGCCCCAGACTTTACACAGGTCCAGAGTTGGCAGTTCGATTATCCGTAATTATAAATGACCATGTGACATTCCTGGGGACGTCTTTAAATGAGGCCGACAAGTATTTGAGTAACATTCTCCCTCAAGAAGACGAACAAAGTAGACAGCGTCATTTGGAGTTGTATCGTGCAATACGAGAGGGTGAATGTCAGGTGAGGACTGAAGACGTCACACGGATATTAGGCGACGAGAAGGTACCGCGGGATATCGAAATATACTTTGGTGATATAATAGTAAAGATAATAAGAGGATATTGAATAATGGGAAGGGGTGGGGAGGACAAAAAGTTTAAGGTGGTGGCGTTGCGATAATAGATATAGACTTTGAAACATTCTCACACCGGTGACCGAGTAATTTCAAGGGTAATAGGTTAAATCATTTATTGTTTCATGCTTTCAGTTTAGATCTTAATGTAGTCAATAAGAAAATACTATTATTAATAACGAGGCAAGCTTTCGCCGACAGACGAGAACGCCATCATCTTCGACATACATAATAATAATTGATTTACTATACACCCTTATCGTCAGTATTTAAATGGTATTACCCTTTTTTGGGACTGCAAGCACTAATTGGATTAAACTAAAAATAATAATAAATGAACCTAGTTGACCGCCAAGAATAGTAAAAGATGAAGATTTTTATATCAATATCACGTGATTGTATGCAAGCCGATGTGCAACGTTACTATGAATCTCTCGATTTCAATCAGAAAGAAGACATTAACATCATTTAACGTTAAATTCGATCTAGACATTATCCAAACTTGCAAGACAATAGAAAACCTTGTCCGACAATGCTTTGTCATGAAAATTATCTAAGATCAAGAAGCCTTTCCTCCAAAGGGAAAATGGTTTGTTCCGATTTGCGTGTAATTATAGTAAATATATATGTGGGAGAACCACGTTTGATACTATTATTAGGATGTCTAAACATTCAAGTCAAGCCATGCATGCAGTGAATGCTTTGTCAAATGTCGTGAGAATGACTGTGCCGATATAACATTTTTTTTCCCCGATGGATCGAATCATCCACCGTAGTGAGTAATCAATCCCCAATTACTAGTCAGCAACACCAGTCAGCATCAGCAACACCAGCAGTCAGCAAGCAACACTAGTCATTGTCAGTATTGAAAATTTGATCAAATTGTAACGTTTCGCGAGAAATGGTTTTGTCAAGAAGAATGTATATTTAGACATGACCCTTTCAATAATTAGACTTTTTTGTAACGGAACCCATGAACACACGGAGAAGCACTTGATCTTAAAGTTGTGGCCCAGCTCTTGCGTACTCCTGCTAATCCTATTGTATACACACAAATGTGAAAGTGAATGCAGCAGTACATTAAGTCTTAGGGGTGATGCATAATGGCATATGGTGACATATTAACGTTAATATATTCCGTGAGTAAAAAAGGAAATACAAGGGAAATGAGGATACAGTGGCGTCTTAAAGATGTACGCAAGGGGTAATGTGGATATTGTAGGGGGAGGTTGCTGCAGCTTATTCTTGCGCCATTTGAAACTGTTAAACCTTAATATAATCGTTGGTTGGTTTTTTTTTATTTTTGTTGCTTTGAATCTGGGCGAATTGGCCAAGATAAGAACATATTTAGAAGAACGGAGAGGATTTCGGTTTGCATACAACCAAGCGCTCCATTTTCTCAATTGAAATAATATTGACAGTCCCTCCACCCAAACCCTTATCACGGAGACGCGGCTCAACTGACAATTATTTGAATTTGTTTAATCACACCAAATGATTGCATCTTACATTGCATACATGCATTTTTTTTTGTTATCTACCTACACAACTACAACTCATCCTTTGTCGGTAACTGCTCTTTTACTTTTGAAGCAACGCTTTCGTATTTTTGGCCAGTGGCGTCGTACGCATCCGCAAATTTCTGACGTAAAGCATCAATGAAATTATTCACTTGCTCCTCAGACAAGTCCTTTGCATCCTTCACGTCCCCAAGCTTTTCGTCCATAGTCTCTTTTACTATCCTTGCCTGTTCCTTGGTCAAATTCTGAGTAGCCACCAACTTGTCTTGAAGTTCCGAAAGCAGTATAGAGATCTGCTCCGATGATGCATCGCGCGATTTTTTAAACGTGTCCCTCAAATACTCTGCCAATCGGTTGAATCGATTTTCTTGAGTTTGTTTCGTTTCAAGGATCGTTTGTTTAGTCTGGTCGGTAAGAGAATTGGCATCGTCTCTTGCCCTACTCAAGTAATTTGCAGCGGCATTCTTAATAGCATCGACTTGTTCTACTGTATATTCTTTCCCATCCGCTAGTTTCTGGCCAATCTGATCGGTTACGCTTTGAATCCTGTCCTGCGTGAGTTGGCGATAGTCGTTAATTGCCGCGAATTGCGACTTTATCTCGGAAACGACTTTGTATGCTAATGAACCAATAGCATTGTACAGCTCTCTACGAAGACGATATAATTTACTGCCTGTCGTATTATACGTCGCATCGAGGGAAGCCAAGAGTTTATCACAAATGGCCTTGGCCTGATCAGCTGACATGTCCTTGGACGAAACGAGCTGTTCGTGAATATCGTTGATAATAAGAACGTATTGGCTCCGAATCCTTGATTTGGCAAATCCGGCACTATTATACAAGTCTTCACATTTGTCTTTTAACCAATCGGTAGAGACGTCCTTTGAATTTTTATAATCTTCCCTGATTCGACCGAGACTTTCCCTCGCGATTTCATCCCTCTTTAACTTTGCGAAAGCATATGATCGGCCAATGTCTTGAATAGCCTTGTTGATCTTGGCATCGGTCGACCCGAGGTTAAACTTGATTTTCTCGAGAGCTCCTGCCATTTGATCCTCGTTTAAGCCAATACTTTCTCGCACATCTTCAATGTTGCTAGCAGCTTTATCCTGGAACGCTTGCAAATCGTTCTGCGATGCATCCTTATATTCATTAAGGACTGCGGTATACACAATGAGAACTAGAGAATCATTTCAATAAAGGTTTAGCAACCTCATGCATTATTACTCACGTTCTTTCAGATACGTTCCAACACGATTAGTAAATTCGCCAACTGCCTCATCCACAGAGTCCCAAGTTTGTTTTGTTGTTATCCGACTGTTTTCCACTAAATTAACCAGGTCTGGCTTTTGTGTAATCCCTTCGAAATTTATGTCGTGTTCGGCCAGCCATAGTTTTAAATTGTCTGTAGACCACGTTTTGGGTTCATTTAAATCTTTTATTTTAAAACCAAAGGTGATGTGGTAGAAATTAGTGTTCAAACTACATGACAAATATATGCTATGAATTTGAACTTGTCAACCTACTCAGCGTTGTACACGACACAAAACCCAAGACTAGGAAAAGACAAATGAATGCCGTAGTCATAAAACGTATATCCGTTCTGGCTTTCATATTTGTTCATTGCATCTTCTCGACTTGAGAGGACACCCGTCTTTTTATTATGATTGAGGAATTACGATCATGACATAACACTTTCGTCACAATTCGGTTTCGTAAAAAGTTGGCCCCTATTGACTTTTGGACAAGGGCGTGCAAAACTTTAGCCACAATTTCCATTGTAACCGTTTATATCGCAGTTCGCTCAGTACTACGCAGTGTGGGTAAGTGATCGACACACCAACCGCCATTAAGAGTAGATTCTACACTAACCGGGTGATCAAAACTTTATATTAATTAATTAATTCTTTTCTCTGTTTATAAGCCATTGATTACATAACTTTTGTGTATTGCCATAAATACTATCGATCTTATCTCTTTACATATAAACATGATAATGGGTTTATGGCAAGCAAGTATACGCATTTGAATGATTGTAACGGATACAATTGCTCGCTATGGGTAATTCAACAATGGATCAAAGAACCGATTGTCAAAAGCTCAAGTAGATTATAAATTGCCTGCTGAACATACAGTAATTTTATATTGAGAATATCGTACATGATGTGAAGCTAAAGCCATACACTAACAATATGTTTGGTAAAAAATTTTCACAAATTGGCGCTGAACGAAAACAGGTACGGCTCAATGAGAAAATAGAATGGATGGGCATTCTTAACCGTTCTAAAATCACAAATAAGTTACGAGAAACGATTGGTAATATTGAAGAGTTTCAGACACTCCGTAAGATAACCCGATATCCAGCGTACTTTAAATTATGTCACTTCAACTGGAAAAAAGAAACGTCGGAAATATTGTAGAATCAGCTAAAGTTATTGTAGCTATCGATAGTTATAACTCATTAGAGATCGATTCCGGATACGAAATACTCTGTTCTGCAAAGGAAATCGGATATATAATAATGCACACGCGCTTCTCCAGAAAATATCAATGAAATTTCTCAACCCGGTAAAACTTGCAACGAAGAATATACGTCCCAACAGATATCGCTACTTTAGAATACATACCCCGCGAAAAGCGGGAAAACCAATCGGCCTTGATTATGAGAATTCAAGAGATAGAGGTTAATAAATAACGTCTTTAATTGCAATTTTACGTATCGCAAAAATATTGTCATTCAGGCAATTAGCAAACCCCTAACATGATATGCAAAAAGCGTATAAATGAGATTTCCTTCTTTGTATTCATACAACTGAAATGGTTACCTGAATTTAATGTACTGATGTAGCAAACAGACCTAATCCTATTGTCTGCACGATCAAAAGTAGTGCTAACGACGAGCAGCCGGGCTGGTTAGGAGTTTTGGTGATTATTTGTTGATGAGTAGACTTTTTTTTTTGTACGCAGCACAAGTATTAAGAAACGTTCCAGCACGAGCCTCGGATTTAATACTGATTTTTGGCTCGGTTAGTTGCTCCTGCTAACAATAACTTTCAGAAAAAACCTAAAAAATGTACAAGTACTTATATTGATATTGATATAATTTTTTTTTCCCTTGTTGGGAAGCCAGTTTTCCTCAACTGAGATAACTTTTGCCCCATACTGCTTTTGAAGGTAGTGGAGCCAGAAGAAGTCACATTCAATCAGAGCAGTCACAAAGGAATGCTATTGCATCTTCAGCTGGGCTATCAAAACTATGTCTTGCCAAGATCTAGAGAGGGTTTGAAACATTTTATGTAGCTCGGCAAACTTCTCTCTTGGAATTATTTTGCGCAACCTATTCTATTTGTAATTAATAAAACTGTTATTGTATATTAATATATATGGGTAATTACATATATTTTTATATTATATTAGTTCTTTATAAAGAGCAGATCTCTTTGAGAAAGGCAGAAAATTCATGGACTTTGATTAAAGGCCTTTTGGAATGAATGCAATAACGCCTTTTTTTTCGCATAATTTGTGGATTTTCATAACCACTTTGCTAAACAAAACTGAATCCAGCTCAGAATTGTTATCAAATAACTTATTAAAATTCTCCATACTTGTATTTCGATTGTCTTTGATTTACAAGTGATTGGATTATAAGGAGAAAAAGTACTAGGGATAAGAGCAGTAATTTGCAGAAAATTTGATGGTGACAACGAGCCTTTTAAATAATTTTTGTTTGCTTTTTTATAGAATAAATTGTTCGATAACGATGCGATGTTGGAAAGATTATATACAGTAATTCGATTTTCTAAGATGAAATATAAGTGACAGGTCGTGTTACTTGCGCCAATCTGATTGCGTGCAACGTTACGGTTACAGATTGGGAGGCCCGACAATTAACCACCCGAAAAAGTATAATGATACAAAATGAACAAATGCATCATCGTTTGGATTGGCTGCCTCCCCCAATAGTTTTCTTTTTATTAATTTCATACTTTATAAATACATCATGTCCCCCGTTGTTGATAAAGAACTCATGGACAAATTTGTCCTGAATTGACGTCATATTAATGATAACATAACAATAATAAAAAACAGCTATTTATTTATGTTTCTAGCTTTCGTATTTTTTATAAGTTGAGGTTAATGATTGTTTATTAGTTTTTAATTCCGTTCTTGATAAATTTTATAAGTAGTTTTTTCTTTATCTAGATAGTCCTGAAAGTTTGGGTATCATTGATTTAAAATGTATAACGCATTTGTTCTTTTTTAGAATGCTTCTTAATAGTGCTATAATTAGTTTTATATATATATTGGAGGCATTCACTTCGCCGACATTTATTCACTGACAAAACATTAACATTCTAATGACGTAGAAGAACAAAATAAAAAAATTTTTCACAAAATTTTGTTGGAAAAGTATCGAGATATGAATTTGAATTTTTGTAGCAAAAATTGCGTATGTTTATAGAGGTAAAACATTTGATGTTTGTAAAATTTGCTGGAGCCATCCGATCGATCTGAAACTTTGCACATTATCAGGGTTTGTTATACACTATACATATGAAAATTTTCAAAGCGTTAAATTATTCCTGTCTTGAATTAGGACCGTTCGGATACTTATGACCCCTATTGTATATAGTATATTCTATTTTTAGACAAATTTGTCTAGAGGACAAAAATTAAACATTCTAAATTTTTGTGTTTGTACTGATTACGCAATCATGAAATTGTATCAATCTAACTTTAAATTAATCATGTTTTAGAACTTATTATTATGGTTACTGAAAATAAAACTTCGGTAGTGAAGAAAAGTCTAAAATGTAATAAATGTTTGTAAAATGACACTGCAAATAATAATAAGGTGTTAAATATTAATATGGTTACGTTACTAAAATTAAATCTATACATTTACATTGCATGATTGCATGGTATAATTCATAAATTTTGTGTTACTTTGTGACTTTTGGAGAGCACTGTACATGTAAAACTGGTATTTATATTCAGCCTTTATTATAATTATATGAATATTTTCTTTTATTTTAATTTATAAAAATTATAAATAATAAATACAAATAAACTCCCAGCTATTGCTTTTTCTGCTTTCTCTTCATTGGGGTTTCTACAGTGTGTGATGTCCAGATTTGTCTGCTCTTCATCTATCATTTCATTATCTAAAGCAAGCTGCCTGATATCACTCAGCTTCTTCACCTCAAGCATTGCACCATTCTAAAAATTTATAATTAATTAAATTTGCATAATATAAATATTAATATGATTTAGTATTAATAAGCAATTATAATTACCCTTAATATATTCCAAAATCTGTCAACCAGATTTTGGATCTTAATCTGTTCATCCACGTCTCCTCGGAAGGGTACTTCCAGCAAACAAATTGAACTAACAACATATACATGTGGAAATGGCAAATTCATAGCGAATATTTTTACAATATTAAATATTTCCACAAGATTGCAGGCCATATACCACCATTTTTCATGCAATCTCATATGCCTGTTGGCTCAATCTATCCCGCATGATTGCCAGTAGGCGATCATCAAGTATGTCCTTCATGCCACGAAAGAGCTTGCATCTATCAGTGTAGATCTTGTCCTCATCTGGTTTGAAGGGTTTCCCTGAAAATTCACCTATGGCAAGTTCCCACTCCCTTTTGTTCTCATCACACCACATCAGATCATAGTCGACCTTGTGGCCAGGTTGATCCTCCTATGTTATTTTTATATAATTTAAATAGTTAGCATTCATAATTTGTAAAATTTTTATATCCTAACTAATAATATTATTATGACATATTATCTTATCACATAAAAGTTCTAACACCAATACTATAGCTCACTCAAATTCAATCTTGAGATTCACACCTACATCTCCTTCCATTTTTTGCTTTGCCATGTGGGCCTTTGAGCTTGCAGAATAATGCTCAGCCCTTAAATAAATATATATAAATACATATTTAATATTAGAATTAATTATAATTAATAATGGTCACTATTAAATTAAGTATTTATATAAACATACCAGCTAGTTTTACATCCCTTCACTGAATCACAAAGTGTTCTAAAAAGGATTGATAGCAGCTCTACAGCCCATGAGTTTTCACTCACAGATGTATCAGTACTTAGTACTATCCATAATATCATATTGGATTATCCTGTCACTAAAAACAAGAGATTATTAACATATTAATATAAATATTATTAATTATTAATTATATGCAAAAAATTTTAATGTGAGCAGACATACAAATCTGTTACAACCCTCAATATTAAATATATATCGTGAGAATCCAACAGGAAATCCAGTTGTGCCAGGTATGATAATGGGTGGTGTGTCTTCAGTGATGGTAGTAGGATTTTCATCAACAGGCACATCAACACGTTGAGCTGGGATGCAACGCATTATCCGCAGCACATAATGTGATTCTGCTGCTGTCCAGTTAATGTAGATTGACTAATATCCTGAGTAGACTTTAAAAACTTTAAGTCCGCCTCAGAAACCTGGACTTTTACATCATTATCATCTACATAAAGTATATTGGAGTACAGTTGATGATTGTAATATGCCTTTAGGTGAAGATCATATGTCTTCATGAGCTCCAATAATACTTAATACTGTCTGGACCACTTTTCCTGATGGCAGAACATTATAATTATGGCCAGCCTGTAAGTCAAATAGTAATAAGTAATGCATAAATTATAGAAAATTTAACTCTGTTATAGCAAACTCATCAATTTACACACACACCATAGCCTCTGCCTCCAAATAACCATGGTTGGCCCACTTCTGTACCAACACCATGTCTATTATTATTATTTGTAAAGTAATATTCATGTTAGAGCTGTGGCAATGGATTAAGATAAAACAACAAGAGTCACATACCTAAAAAATTTCTTGCTTCAGGTGGTATTCTATCTTTGTCATTTTTACCCCACTGTTGACACCACCCTACCCAATACTTTATCACTGGTTCTGAAAATTTGTCCCCCTAAAAGAGATATTCAATAAGATTTATACATAATTCAACAAATTTTGGAATATAACTATAATGTGTGATGAAAAGTAATTATTTTATTATGACATACGAATAATACATTATTATAATTAATAATAAGCGGCTCCGTATCATAATGCTGAAAATCATTTCGTCGATGTAATATTTCACTGACAATTATTTCACTGACATATTCACCAACATTATTTCGAAATTATCCTTTTTTTGGTAGCTGTTGTCAGCGAAATGATTGTCAGCGAAATATTACGTCGGTGGAATGATTTTCGGCACGGCGTTTTGATTGCCTCCTAATAAGCAATGTTAATGTGCTTGTATACTAATGTTTATATTAAAATTAATTTGCATTCTTTAAATTTTTTAAACAAAGTGAACATTTTGTATATTTCAATACATAATAACAATAACAATAACAATAACAATAACAATAACAATAACAATAACAATAACAATAACAATAACTAAGGATAGAATTTTTACCTCAAACTCAGCACACAGCCTTTGTCTTTCTACAGAGTTAGATTGGCTCATGAAAACTCTTTTGTACGTGTCATATTCCGCTCTATAGTCTATAGTGGCACGTGGAAAGTTCTTGCCCCGCGATCTTCTTAAAAACTTCGCCAAACACCACTTGTTAATGAAATAAGTTAAATGTTTTTCAGTAGACGAGGTAGACATTTGAAAGTTTGGTCTTTAAGTAATATACGTTTAATCGATTCCACTTTTTTTTGTAACACACTGTATTACTATCTCTACTCTACCCTATGTACACACTACTTCATGTCCCCAACGCCCGATTCACAAAGTCGTTACCTGGCTGCGCCTGCGCCCTCTTCACCTCCTCATTCCGCTTCGCCCACACCCTCTACACTCCTCCACGGCCTCCTACACTCCTCCACGGCGTTCTTCAGCTCTGTCTCCTCCTTCGCACGTCACTCCAGCCCTGCTTCCTCCCTCGCATCGAGATCCTCCCGCTCCTTCTTATCCCTCAACTCGTCCAGCCTTTCTCCCCGATACTTCGACTCCCGAAAACTCTTGAACGCTGCGTTCGCCTTGTCCAGTTCATCCTTCGCTTCATTCTCTTTTTTCTGCCAGTATTCAAGTGTAGCCATGGTAGAGCGGTAAAATTTTTCGAGTGTCGTTTCGGTGAATTGCGCGGAAGTTGTTTATGTGCTGCGCAATGTATAAAATCAATGACGTGTTATTGTGAACATTCTAGACCTTTTCATAATGTAACTATTGTTCCCCTGAATGCCACAACGCAATAATAATATAAATATCGTTTAAAGTAATAAACAAATCTGTCGACTTCCACCACCGATAACACCTACAAAAATGCTTACGTTCACAAGCGAATTTCTTTTTGGAATATTTATTGGCTTCGTTCTCGGCCTGTTGCTCAATGGCATAATTTATAATAGCCAACTCCACAACATGGGAATATTAACAAAGACTTTGAAGTCCAGAAAGTTACCAAAAACGAAACTATCGGCGAACAAAATTTATCTGCCAGATATCGAAACGTTGTGGAACGATTTGAAAAAATTATACGATAAAAGAACCGAGTCGGATCCCAAATTTTCATTTAACAAAATGGCGTTCGAAATTTATAAGTTGCTTAGTGAAGGAAAAGCTGTTGCAGCGTCCACAATACGAAATTTTTACCTACGAAGAACAACCCCGCGGAAAAAGACCATCGAGGCAATCCAACGTTGGATCGACGAAGAAAAGGAAAATGTAGACCACTCAGATGGAGACGGTGAAAATAAAGAAATAGATAATAATAGTGACAGTAAAGAGGATAATGAAACTTAAATTTGCACCAGAGTGACCAAAGAATAGGTTATACTCATTAATCGCTTTGGGTCCGAGTATTTTCCTCCCATGCAATTGCTCTGGTGCTTTTAGTATTATTATATTTTCAAGAGCGTGCATTCAATAATTAAGATAATAAAATTTATGCCTACAAATGTGATCAACACTCAACGAAGTGGAAGCATTGGCGGGAAGCTTTTACGTTAAATTTATTTCCCTTACGTTTCTTCAAGTTTCCGTTTCTTGCTTGGTTTATCATGTGCTGGCGTTAATGCTCGTTTAGTTATGATTTTCCTTTCCTCTTGGTAAATTTCGTAAATGATTTTTTCTTGATCTAGATACTCCTGGAGAGTTAGGGTATCATTCATTTTAAAAACATAAGGTGCAATTTTCTCTCCTTGCTCTTTTTTTAAAATACTTCTAATAGTGCTGTACTTCTTGGGTTCCATGGTCGATTTAATGTAAATTAGTTTCATATTAATATTTTTATATATAGAGATAATCCTATATTAATCATGTTATGGTTTATATTCATCACCTTCTGGTATGATAAAGTGAGCATTAAAATAACAAGTCCATGAGCACCATTATTACTTTTCAAAACGCCATCAGTCACACTGGTCCATTTTACAGCCACATCACAGTCAGCCTCTCATTTATAAATGTTCACTTTGTCTGGTTTTGTTGCAGCATGCCCCATATTACAGTAAGTTTACTTAAAATTAGACATATAAACAATAAAAATTAGTTTGTCTTCACTATCATCACTCTTAGCCACATCAACACATAATTAAATGCTTAATAATAGTGTTAGTATTAGGATAAGGAGCATTTGTGTTCAAAATTTGAAAACAACCTTATGCTAAGGCATAACTCATATTAATATTAATATGGCATTAAATAAATATTATACATAGGGAAACCAAAATTAATAAAATGGTTCCTGTTTAATCCAGTAACCATTATCGGAAAACAATAAATTATGGATCTATAATAATAAGCTTTTGTTTTTGATCTATATAAGGAAACAAGAATAACTTGTCACAGCAGTGATTTGGGAACAATAAAAGGCATCTTCTATTTACTATTTTCAAACATCAGACAATGAGACATGAAAAATTTAGGAGGTCTTTATTTCAGCTTCTTCTATTACTCGTCAGATTTTTCTTTTTGCTGCCATTGAGTTTTTTCGTAGACAATAGCTTTATTCAATGCAACCACAGTTACAGTGACTGGCACCATATGAGATTCGCCATTGTATGCGTTTCCGCCTTTCAATATGAGATTGTACGCGTTTCGCTTTGTATGTGTTTCGCCATTGTATGCATTTCCGTCTTTCAATATGAGATTGTACGCGTTTCGCTTTGTATGTGTTTCGCCATTGTATGCGTTTTCGGTTCCGCCATTCGAATACTGACACCATAAACATATTTAAAGACATATTCCCCAGCTCATTTATCATTCAAAATCGTAAACTCATAAACTCGTTCCTATGCTAACACCACCACCAAAAACCACCACCAAAAACCACCACCAAAACCACCACCGACAACACCACAAAAAGATGCAAGCAAAAGAGGCCCTCAGCTCTCCCAAAGAACTCTTCGGTTTCTCAACTTACAAACGTAAGATCTTATTAGAACGAAAAAGTCGCGGCATGGTCTCAGAAATTGTGGTTACCTATTGTGTCCGACTCTGCCGTGACTTCATCCACTCCCCACATACTACAAAACTCATGGTTCTCGTCAACAAAGCGACCTCCGATGAGCACGGGATATCCCTGCAGTCAAGCAAGGAAGAAGAGTCAGCAGGCCTTGCGACTCGATACGGCAATCTTTCGAATGCAACGAAGAATCAAACGTCTACAAAGCGAAGTTCACAAAAAGAGCGTTGCATTTTTCACTCGCGATTTGGTTCAATCCAGTTATGTGGATGAATACAATGAACTTGGATGGATACTTTACTGACGTAAAGCCGACTCAAATTGACAACGTTTACTGCGCTATTGCCAAACATGAGGATGAAATTTCGCCAACGTCTTGTGGCTAAGGCAGAAGAAGCGTTATTATCCAAAATGAGTCCCACTTCGAAACTTGCAGCTGGTGTGGGAACATTCAAAAAATAGGAGGGTCCGAGATGTACAAATGCCAAAATTGCGGAACTGTAAAAAATTCTCCGGGCATTGCTTGATGGAGCCTTGATTCTCTCCGGAGATCATGCAGGAAATAGTAGTAATTAGTAATGTCTATTGATATGTTACAATTCATCCGCTTTTTGGTACAAAAATGCCGATGAATATATCAAATGTTTTAATTGCGGACAATAATCGTCAGTGAAAGCGTCCCCATATAATTGCAGTATCCACATTAATTGGACTTGACGAATCCATTCCTCAGTATTAGGGTTAAATTCACCAAAAGATCGAGTTTGTATAGCAAAGTCACTAGGACTAGTGGAACACGATTATTTTAACTCGAAACGCGGATTTCAATTTGTACTACAGTTTGACGTTTAGTGTGTATATAATGAACACTCGATGAATTTAGGAGATGTTTTTATAAATCAGTATTAATTTACCTTATTTACTCTAGTTACTCCAAAAGAATCATTGCCTTTATTCTAAAAGAAACACTTTTAAGAGAGGTTCGAGGCCTGTTAAGGATATTATTAAAATTGGGACGGGACTTTAAAAGAGCCCGATTTTCAAGAGCCACATTTAAATAACCCGCTGATGCTAGTGTAATTTAAAACACAGAAATGCTTAATATAATGGCTTTGAGTTCTAGAATTTCTCCCACGTAATGTCTAGTCTTTGAAGACTAAACTGTGAACTGGTTATCGTAACAGGTTTTTACCATCATGACAACCACCCCGGAAAATCAAGATTATTTGCTACCATTTAAAAGCAGTTTAGCAACCGCTCCTAATTCTTCTCTGTGGGCTTGTATCAAAGCTTGCAATTAATGAACTGAAGTTTCTGGAGGACAAACGTTAATTACTGTTCTATATACAATACGCAGACTTGATAATGCCCAAGTACCTTATTTACCGTCAGTAAAATTAATCCTTTACACCAAGCAAAAACATGGCAGGACTGCAATTCGACAGTCTAGTTTTTCAAAAGTTTAGTTAATGAATGTGCTGGTTTTTCTATGGACCCAACACAACGGACGAAAATTTTTATGAACGATCAGCTACTTTTTACATCAGACTTTGGTACAGTTAAACATACTCTATTTTTAGCATAAATTCATAGAAAGTATACACAGCGCCAAATTTTAAAAGACGTTATCTTCAAAATCCAGGAATATCTAGCGCAAGGCTTGCGTCGTTATAGCTCGCACGCTATTGCGCCAAGGAAAAGCCCGTCAAAGAGAATCGAGGATTGGAAATCCGCTTGATCTTGGATCAGCTTTAATTGATCGTCACATCTACAACACCGTTTATACCTATAAGTAACGGAAAATAATAATACACAGTGATAAAAGCTCTATGCTTAAATTCTCAGCACAAGTTAAAAACTTTATCAAAACTATTATTATGCCGACAACAAATTTTCGATAAAACATATAAACAAGCGTAACGTATGTGTCTAATTCCAATCGTACTATATTTGATTAGCATATATAGGTTTCCGAAAAGTAATTACGGGTGCCTTTGTTCTGAAATAATAAACAGGCATAATAAGTATGTCAAACTTATGTAAGTGTACGTTGTATTATAAAAATAATACGCTTTTATCGGCTATCAATTTAAAGTGTGCAGTTACTCGAGTAGCTGATGCTTAAAGGCGTTTCAAAGTAGTCAATTGGCATCATTATTTAATCAGACCAATACAAACAATAGAACTGCCAATATGCTTTTATCTAACGGCGTTATATTTAATCAATCGGTTCAAGAAAACAGGCTAATGTTAAGATTCTAATGTTCAAATTGGCTTATTTCAAAGGAAAAGGTTTCTATTAACAACAAGTTTTATTCCTTCGAGAATAATACGTTACGTTTATCTGCACTTTCTGTAAGAATGTTATACACAAATTTCTATAATCTGCCAATACTTTTCTGAAACGATTAAAGTCATAAACTTGGCTTGGGAGATGCGTAGCTATACATGTATAATTGCATGTTTCATATTATAGCGATTATTGCATACGGTATGTAGATATTTTGAAAATAAAGATTTTCACATGATAACAAAAATTATTGCCAAGTGCGTGCAAGGTATAACAGAAACAAACATAAGAAAACAAAGTTACACAAATCATATTTCTATCTATGTGTGACGTATAACATTTTTGTTCCAGAAATAACGATTACATCCTTCCTTTTTTCTTTTTTGAAGACGAGCACAGCACCAAATAAAGTTTTATGCTTACGTTACTAATAGATTATCTTGTTCTTAGCACTCAGGATAACCAGTAATGTTTTAATTGGCATCAAGCACAGTCGAATTAGCGATCGTGATCATATTATTAATCAAATTTATGCGAATAACAAGTATATGGTATACAGGGATAGTTTGCGACTCAAAATAAATTTGATCCAAAGATGGATTTATGAGACATATTAATATGGTTGGCTCTCTATCTCGCTCGGTGTAACTATAATACGTAATAAAAGCTAACGTATGCACAGTATGTTCTTTCCTTATGAGCTATATAACATGTGGCAAGCACATAATGGTTCGTCTCAACGTTCTATTGTATGGTTCGCTTGTCCCCATAACTAATAACGTGCTTTACTAAATATAACTGCCGTTTTTACTCAAAACCAGCCATGTTGATTCAATATTAAATTGTGATCGCCCCTGTGTATTACGCTACAAATGCAGGGCAATTTCATAAAAGGCAATGATAATGTAACACGATAATGCAAACATATTTTATCTCCTGAAAGCAAAATCCTTTATGGTAAAAGTCATACGATTTCCGCCAAGCCTCTCTGATGCCAAAGTTAGTCTGGTGAATATTAACTGGCTGAAGAGAGAGAAAACGTTGAGTAGCGATCGATGAGAATAATATCCTGCCAAGAACAGTATTATGTAAATACCAAGACATGTTAGAATCCTATGTGTGTGTGTATGTATGTGTGTGTGTGTGTGTGTGTGTGTGTGTGTGTGTGTGTGTGTATGTCGATTCCGATTTCGCGTTCTCATCTCTTCGACATGTTATTGTGGCACTCCTCTCACAGTGATGGTCACTACTGCGATGATTGTCGTGCTAATGAACGTAGATTTAGAGGAAAAGTTCTAATCACGCTTAATTGGACTCTTATAACCACGTGTACATCGTATAAACAGGTTAATTTCTGGTTTCACGATCTAGAACCTTGTCGATCTCAAAAGATTATGAGTTGTGTCTTGATTCAACTCAACTCGCAACAAATATGATGAATTATCGCCATTACTTTTTAACAAGACTTTGTCACTATACAAGGCAATTATAATGATGGCGGAACTTTTTAGCCGGGTTTACTGAGTTATTAGAATTTACGGGTGAATTTTGAATCCACTATGATACAAATGACTTTTTAAGGATACACAATACTGTGTTGTGTTGTTATACAACTTCCGACTATTGGTCTCTTTTGTTTGGGTAAAGACAAATCCGTTATAGGATGTGCGGGTGTTTGCATGGTTTAAATCTTTTCGATTGGTTCTCAAGCTCGAGGTGCCTTGCAGAAAACAGTTGATTTTCAACTAGGTAAACTTCATTGACTGTCGCTACTAACAGAGATTAAACCATCTATGGCATCGTCTAGCGATCTATTTCCACACAAGACGATTCTACTCTGCTAATATGGAAAATTAAATAACATGCACACTATGCATGAAGCTTTTTTCTCACGAATACATAGATATAAGGATAGCAGGGCAAAGGTTGAGAGCTTGATGTTCGAGAATGACTATAATGAACACTTGTCAACGTCGACAAAACATTTACAAAACAAGGAATTTTCCATCTTTAGTGTTGTATGAGATATTTAGCATGTTTACTGAGGACACTACATCTGATTTGAAGACATTATACGCTTGCGCATTAGTCAGTAGACAATGGTGTATAGATGCTATTCCATATTTATGGGCAAATCCGTTTATAAACCCAAGAGGAAAGACCCCGCTCTCCACTCTGCGTCGATTACTTACTTGCAAAGAACGAACAAAACTCGGGATCGCAGCGTGCGATAAAGATTGTCATTTGGAGAGCGGGTGTGATTGCGATAACAATGATGCGGCGCAGTTAGCTTTCAACTACCCCGAATTCATCACAACAATAAATCTTCACCGTTTGACAGATTGTTATGAACGCGAATTTGAAAATAACGAGTCTGCCAATACGATGAGGGTAATACTTGAACTGCTTGTACGGCATGGCACTCGATTAAAAGTATTGGAAGCAGGTTGGGACGAAGGAATGATTTTCTTTGAATATAAAGTCCTTGTACAGAGGCTAAAAAAATTTAAGCTGCTTGGGTCACTGTATACAATATTGGACCAGGTAGGAAAGTATTGTAAAAACGTGGTAAGTAGTTGATAATATACGTAAACAATTTGTTATATAGGAAACACTGCGTTAAAAAATTATTGATGTATAATATGCTTTCATTTACTATGTATCAGGAGTTTCTCTATATCCCTTTTTGCGATTTTGCCTCGGAAAAAGTACAATCCTCGTTCTCTTCTGCAATAACAGCAATAGCGTCTCAACGCTCTTTAAAACATCTTACTCTAAGTGGAAGCCGTTCTCCGGACCATGCCTCCTTTCGGTCCCTAATTGAATCCATTTTAACACAAGCCTCAACGTTAGAGACCATCACACTCGATCGGTTCTATTTCGATAACGACGACATGTTCAAAGTACTTGCTAGTTGCACAAAACTGAGGATAATTGATTTTAAAAGATGTCGGGTTAAGGACGATAAGGTTGTGGAAGTGTTGGTGAATAGTAATTTAGAAAAGTTGGAAAAGGTCGTGGTGATGAGTAATTGTGGAAGCATGAAGTTGTTGCAATGGGCTATTAGAATATCCGGAGAACATTATGGTTATAAAACTGACGTTTGTTTGTATTAGTATTGAAACAGGAGAGATAGATGCTAGGGTTGGCGCGTGTAGGTTACGTCTGGTTTGTGTACATAAGAAAGACGTACAAATGCAGTTAAACATGACACTTGTACATAAAACCCCTGCCGAGAGGTTGGTAAATTTTTGTCACACAAACATACAGGTCATGCCAAACTATGACGTTAACGCTTATCACCACCGTTACAGAAAGAGTCATAGTTCGTTTGTAAATGAACATCGATCGAGCAATTGATTTCTCTTAATAAAGTCTACTAAATTATAAAAAGATCCGTGCAAATAGCAAATGTACAGGTTACACGCATACACGCACGTACGCACACACACACCCACGCCCATATACATACATACATACATTCATTCATATATAGATATTTTAACATTAATGCCGAGTCATGTTGTGCAATTTGTCTACAAATTTGTGAACCTTCTTTTACATTAGATTAAAGTGTGCAATTTAATAAAATGATCATTTACAATTTTGAAATGACGTGCATTTATTTTGCAAAATAACTTGGTTTTTTTTTATACAAAATTGATTCAAGTCTTCTTTATTTCGTGCTAATGACCAATTGCAAAGTAAATTAATTAGATAAAGAGCGCTACAAGCAATGCATCATCTGTCATATAGATCTTGCTTAATAAGCCTTTTGTTTTGTCGTAGGAGTTTCCGCGTCTGACAATGAAGACCGATTGCTACGATCTGTGAACAATATACGTTGTATTAGTAATCACGACAGAAACGTCAAACTAACGTTTGTTTTAATTAGTCAATGCATTATCATTGTTACCTTATATATTATTGCGCAGATAAACACCACTGATATATAAAGTCAAAATTTTTTCATGTCAGATCCTAAGAATGACAAAAACGGAAGTAAACTTACTAATCAACTGATTATGTCGTGTTTAATTAACTGTCTATTATGTAAAAAAAAAGAAAAAAAATTACGCTTTAAGGTTTTAGATGATAAATAAATGACAAAACAAGCAAATTTCTTTGTTACATTAAGTAATCATGTGCCCGATCCATCTTGAACGAATCCATAGGTCACTTGAATGAGAATACTACCAATTTTGAAACCAGGGTTCCATGTCACAGACCTCTGTGAACCATAGAGAATACGAGAACGCCGAGCCGAACGCCAGAATTTACATCTACAAGGGGTAAGCTGTCTATGATCTCATTGGTTCGCGTACGACATATACCAAGATTTTAGATTCTCATTTTCAGGATCCGCAAATTTGACTGAAATTTTGGAAAAATCGTGCCAATTTTGTCCAAAAGGGCTGCGCACAGTCTTTGATACGTACGTAAACTAATGGCCGGGTCATTAAAAAGCCGGTTCTATCTATTGCTGACGCCCAAAACAATTGTCGATCAGAATTCATGATTGGCCATGTGGATTTACGAATTCGGATATAAATCGGGTTCAAAGTACATATATGTATTGCATTAACTATTTTAATTTACAATAAATTTCTGGTTATCAAATCGGTGAATTTTCAGCGTGTAAATAAATTCCCACAGACAGATAGTTGGTGCACAATGAAGCACTCGCAAAACCAATGCATTCTTAATTACTGATCGAATTGAAACAAAAAATAAAACAAAACGAAACGTCAATTTGGAAATAAAGGCCGATAGACAATAGAAAATGACTAAACAATTCTAAACTTTATTCTCCCGCTTTGTTCCGTTACAAAGCATAAACGATCAAACAAGACTAAATCATAAACTTTATTCGCTCTCTCCCCCTTTTTGTCCCGTTTAGTTACGATTCGTCTAATAAACAAAGCTTACTTAATTCTAATGAAACGTTGCACTTTTCATTGCATAAGTTTATATGAGAGAAAGTCAATTTATTACATAAAAATATTTATGTTTTGTTTCCTTCTTTGTCGCCATTAGTGGTTTGATGTAACTTGATACCTGACCACTGAAACGTCTTAAACACCATTTATAGGATGTCTTTGATTGCTGTACAAGCAAGTTTCGGACGCACAATGTCTTCGCTCACCTCTAAATGGGAAGATTAGATGTAACCGTCGGAGCTCCTGCTTGCAAAAACCCTTTCGCGTGCGAGCCAAGGGCATCATACCATTGCGTCGTAATACCAATCGGCTTTTAAACGGCCAGTAAGTACCCGAATGTTCAAGCGTTTGTTACGACTATGGAAAGTGGCAGTGTCCAATCGTATAAAAATAGAGTGGAAATGCTTGGGCTTACTGGTTTAGCAAACTTTAAATTGGTTTACGTTGTACAACACTAATCTTTTTTTGGTATATGACGCAAAGGATCAACGTCTATAACCATTAGGCAAAAAACCTCCCAACTTGAGTGATTAAATAATGCTGACAGAACATGAGACAGTCCGCTTTACAAAGGACATTTGATCTCGGTAATTGGTAAGTGTAGTCGCAATTGGTTATTCCTTGTAATTGCTAAATGACATGTTGCTAATTCCTTCTTTTTGTAATGCGAGACTGGTTACCCGTCCGTGACTGCTCTGTGCAGCCCATCATGATTAATCATGAGAACGAAACATGACACACTTACTTTAATTATGAAATCATCGTAAGCAACACGCTGGGCCTTTTTAGTTTAGTGTTGATTTTCGCAAATGTGGCCCCATTCAATTTACCGATCTTTGTACTACCCACGCTAGCACAGATTTGTGCAAATCTTATTTTTAGCAACCCAACCAGATGTTATTGTGTCATTATTTACGATCTGCGCAAATAAAATTCGCAACAACTGCAAATGGCAGCCAAGGCAGTGTAAATAAACTGACATCATTTTTCAATTAAGAGCGCAAAAAAAACAAGGGTGCTTGGCTTTGAATGACAAAGCAAATCACATAAATACTCGTATACATCCCATCACTCGGGTCTATCTCGGCGGATCAAGTATAAATATTTGGGCAAACCTGATCGAGAGTCAGTGTTTCAGAGTCGAGAAGCGAGTTCAGTAGATTAATCATAACGATTAGCGCTTACATATCATACTACATCTTGAGACAATACGAGCAACATATCATGACAGTGGATCAAGTTCCTGCAAGTGCTATTTGTCAAGTAATGGCTGAGCAAACATATTCTAACAATGCGGTATGTTTATAAAAAGATTCAAGGTTTATGATTCATGCCGATCACTGAGTCCCCCAACTGGATTTACGCCATAGATGCATCGGATGTATACGCCTCAATATACTTTTAGCGCAACTCCGGAAGATTGTGCTATTTATGATGCACAGCGATTTGTAAGTAGATGGAAGCAGTTTCCCCTCCCCCTTTTCCTAAGAGAAAGAAAATAAAAATATGGATAGAAATTTGCAAAAAACTCGTTGCTGATCCCCATTTCCCATTTTTTTCCCCCCTCTCCCCATCTCAATTTCTGCTCTGTAATTTATCCCCCATTATTTATCAGTCACTTTCCCAGCCATCACAATATCAATTTACTGAAGACATTCAGCAACTTGTTTTTAGACCGGTGTCCGATCGACCCAATGTTGATGTTCAATTAAACCCATTAAATCGATCAAATCAACTAGAATCCCTCTCTGCACCGAGACCCAAAAATGACGTTATAGAAGGGAGTTATGTAATTGATCCAAACACTTTATTGACACTCGAAATAAACGACAATGCAAGCGAAGAATATGTAAATACAGCGTTTATGATTCATAATGCTATGACGAATGGTGGTGCTATTTCAAATGCTGCCGTCGCAGATGCCATGATCCATCATCAATCCGTTTCGATCTCACCAGTTAATTCGTCGACATATTCACCGAGTCCAACCCTGACTGAAAAATCGCTCGCCTCTAAACCTTCAACGGCTAGCAGTTCTGAGCCGCAATCACCACTGACTTTTATCAAGTTCGAGGAGCCGGAATTTATGGAAAAGAACGAACCGGAGCTTGAAGACGAGAGTTTGAGTTGGGTTAACCCGAAACAGTATAGGAGAATACTAAAGAGGAGAATTGCCAGGCAAAAGTTTGACGCCAAATATGGCATTTCACGAGAGCGAAAGGTAAGAATTTAAGAGAGAGATACTATATAGGCTAGTCGATAGGGAAATGACGTTATATTAACTTGGTTTTTTTCTTCAATCAGTCATACATACACAAATCTCGACATTTACACGCTCTTCGACGTCCACGTGGTCCTGACGGTCGATTTCTTACTAAAGCAGAAATAGAAGAAATGTCACTGTCGAACTTTATAGCTCCGTTTTCCAACCTGTCACCGACACTTTTTGCTCCGTACATGTGCTCACCTGAACAATGTTTCTCTGAACAAGCGTTACGAAATACAATGATGGGTAATAGTATGATAGCAAACACTGCAGAGTATTTCCAAACAAGCGAAGGGAGATGTAATATTGTGCCACAACCAGTTGGGTGCGGAATAGATGGTATTGGTGGAGGATTGGTGGGGTGGTTGTGAATTAATAAGAGGGTGGTTAAAAGAGCGATATTATAAGAGAAGTAAAGAGAAGGAGAGAGAGAATAAGAGAGAGAGAAAATAGACGAGAAATAGAAAAAGTGAAACCGTAGAAGAGAAAGGGGAAAAACTTTTTAGCTTAATATGTGTTTACTGTATGGTTAAAAAAGTAAGCCTATATATATTCCTACTACGCTGTCTACGAAATAAGAATTTATTTATATTATGTTTTAAAGCAAGCGTCTAAGCTCACAATAATAGACACGTGTGTGTCGTTATGTCGTTTGAAAATTATAGAAATAGGGTTTTTTAAAAATTATTATCATGTATGGGTTAAATTCTCCAGCTTTCACTTTCTCATCGTCTTGGTTCATCCCCCTTTTCCCGGTCCCTTTTCTTATGGCATCAAAAGTTTAACGGAATGGTAGTAATGGATATTGGTTAATAAAGGAAAAAAAACTATCGGGTAGTTTTGTTCATAAAAAAAAAGAGTTTATCGCTGGGGTAATTAGTGGGGTTTATGTACTTCTTGTAAATGGTGACGTCACGAAAAGAAGATATCCGGAAAGCCACAATTCCAAGCTTTTTCCAAGCGTATCGAAGCAATTCGGGACTAGCACGTGATTTCTTTATTTAATTATTGCAACGTCGGTGATAACATTTCAGACATGCCGAGAGATTTGTATTTACGTGCGCAGCTCGGATGTGTAATGAACGACTCGATAACGTCGATATGTAGAGTCTCGGACATGTCCGCAGAGCATTGTACATGCATGTTGAAGTCATGCTCAGTCTTTAACAAGCACTCTTGGCGACGAAAACTTTTTTCTTCTCGCGATTCCCATTGGAGCAAAAAAAATTTTAATGCGTGAAATCCATTGCTTTAGCTGTCTAGTCGTAGGCATATGATGCATAAGTATTTACTCCACTAGAACGTAAATATGTGTGCCGGTTATGTATTCAAAAGTACTACATAAGACACACACTAGGATTAGAAAACAATTGGTTGGTTTCTTTCTGGAAAGACTATTACCCAAAGATTACGAAATATTATTCTCGTTGTCAGAAACCTAACGTCATACAGAAAGGTTATTCGTTCAAAGGTGTTTCTGTGGCACACTTATAGTTATTCCTATTGCCGATAAGGTAACTATTACTATTACTATGCTAAATTGCATACTGATCCGTAAATGACTTTTTCAAACCGAATTTACGCATTACAATATATCAGACATTTTTGCCAGAATGCCTCATTTTTACGGTTCGATTGAGAAGTTGCAATTTGCCCCAATTGCTATTCGCCCCCATCCGTTCTAAATAACGATTTTCGATTATCACCCTAAATGACGCTAATGACATGCTAATTTAGGCTACTAACCATTATTATAACAAACAAAAAGACATCATGTATTAATATATCCAAAACGGGCAGATGTTCAAAATCAAATGCCAATTGAACTGTCAGCCCACAAAATTCACACACTTTTTCAAACCAATCATAAAACGCTTCAATAACAGCTAAAATACGCAAAAAAATAGCACCGACTTTTTCCCATCGTTTTTTACACAGCATGTTGTATGCGCATTCCATCTTGTCATATTACTGTTCTACCACCACCTCCCTCAAGAACCCGTCTCAAGCGATTCAATCGCTTGTTACCTCGATACGGAAACGCATCCGACGAATGAAGCGCTTTCTCACGCTTACCCTCATCGGTACACTGCATGTCTCATTCGGCCCGGTAACCGTTCACTCGTACGTTCCTCCGACTACTCGTACCGGTTCATGTAATCGTGTGGCCATCACTTATATCGAAGTGGTCGGACACGAAAAAGGTTGTAACCAACCGTGTGATATCGAGGAACAGTTTGAATTCTTGAGGAAAAAAATGCAGAATATCTTGGAGAAATATGAAAAGGAGGAGAGAGTCAACAAGAAGGAGAAATATCGGGAAAAGTATATGCGTTATGCATGGTTGTGGCGATGTAATATGAGAAAGGAAAGCACGTGCATTGGAACATGAAAAAAAATATAGAGTGGATTATACGAATTACACTAGTTGATATAATAATCTTTTGTTTATTTTAATTGCAAATACAAGAAAAAATTTAGTACGATACTTATTATTAATGTGTCATCTATGCAATAGAGAATTTTTTATGCTATGCAAGCTTGTTTTGCGTTGATCACGATCTACCATATCATTCACGTGACACAAACCAAAATTTGCGCACTGTGCGTTGGTCTTGGCAAAATACCATAAAATGACGAAATCCGGTTAATAGTTTATATTCAAAGTTCTTTTTGCTGGCCGCGCAAGTCAAAAATTCCCCTCGCTCATTCCGAGGAATATTTCCTTAACAGCCACTTTTTCAGAAAACTTCTCCCTCCATTACATTTGCTCTTTCACCGGTTTAACATGACAAACGCGAACGAAAATACTCACGAGCCTTCCCCACACGATCGTATTGTTCTCAATGTCGGTGGCGTCAAGGTGAGAAAAACAAATGAATGCCATTTCTTATTATTTAACCAAGGGACTACTGTAAATCGACAGACATACTAATTATCCAGTCAAGGCTCGTTTGTAATCTTGGGCTAATCTATGCGTTATCGTTTTAATGCATTTTTTCGAACCCGTCAAAACATATCGCAAACTCTACCTCTGCCTGCTCTATCTCAAATTATTCCCTCTCCTCTTCTCCCCATCTCCATTCCCATTTTTCTTCCCATCCCCCTTCCCATCTTTTTTCCCATCTTTTTTCCCATCTTTCTTCTCATCCTCCTTTCCCATCCTCCTTCCCATCCTTCTCTCTCTCTCTTTTTTTCTGCCTTCCTCCCCCCCAAATCCTCCGTCGATTACTTCCATCTCAAATGCATTCCTTTGGGGGACTCAATCCATCAAATAGTACGAAACTTACAGATCAACCTTAACAGCATACCCAGACACTCTCCTCGGCCGCATGTTTCAGACCCGCAATGCGGCTCTCCTCCATCCGACCAACGGCAACGAATACTTTATTGACCGCGACGGCCACGTGTTCCGTCACATACTTCAGTTTTATCGCACAGGAGAATTGCACTATTCGGACGATCCGTCACAAAACCCCTGTTCCACTATGTACAGCGCAATAACAAGGAAGGAAATAGACACGGAAATCGACTATTTTCAAATTCCTGTCGGTGAACCGTTGAAACTCGGTCGTCTAGTCAGACAGGCGATGTTTGATAAAGTAGATGATTTTATCGAAGCGTTGAAAAATGTCATATATGTCGTTTTATCTAATTTCAAGCGACAAGTCAGTATAACCTTTTATGAGGACGAAATGGATCCGGTTGTGGATGATCTCAACTCGGCGTATGTCGGCTCGCTGATATATAATATCATCTTACCGTTTCGAGTGGTTGGATTTCTTATATTGGACAAGTTGGGGGATGAGATCGGCAAATATTTTGAGAACAATAATAAGGAATTGAAGTGGGATGCGATAAGAGACGATGATTACAAGATCAGTGTCGTGTTAAAGTTTGAATTCAAACATGTGGCAGCTGACGAAATTATTAGAAACACGTGTCTATCTAGTGAGTTGGCGACAAATGATAGCTGATGAAAGAAGTGGGGAAATCTTATTAATAGTTTTTACCTTAATGGTAGCGACAAGGTTTTGTTGCTTGAGTTCTTTTTTTAGTAAAAAAAAAATAGACTTTGAAAAGAAAGAAAGCAGATCGAGTATTTATTGTGAGGGGACAAAATGTAGAAACCTCCCACGATAAGGAAGAGTATCACGAACTATATCGTTATTAAAATTTCACGATGCCCGTTCATGTTATCTGGCCGAACAATAAGTCTTTTGTAAAATTGCGCATTCTTTTTTTCTAATATCACTCGTCTGATTTCACCGATGACGATGTTATCGTACCGGAGATGATTGTAGTTTTATGGAGCAGTTTTCCATTGATAGAATTATACGTCAACGAGTGTATCATGAACTAAAAAACACTTGCCGGGATTTTCCTCAACCAACAGTTATTTATTATAAACTTGCGTTGATGTTCGCTTATTGATTATCCGGGCATTTAATCGGAGTGACTTTTTTTTTGAGCTTCTTTCTAGGCTTCTAATTGAGTTGTAATTTTTGGGTCCATAGTAAAATGACTGTTCATCGTTAGAAATAATCCTATGCCGTGTTATTCTAATTTGACTAAAGCAGAATTTTGATATGATAAGCAACGCAACGTTGTCCAAACAGAATGTGACTTTCTTGGACTTGTTATCAGCGTTCAATCGAATGCATTATTGGCCGCACCCACAATATCCCGGGTGAAGATTGTAAGAAATAGTAATAGGAAGAAAGGAATTGAAGAATGTGTTGGGAATACATTTTGATACAAGTGGAACGTGAATTCACTGTTACAATAAGATTTATGCACGAATGATTTAAGGTAATTCATATCGCAATATGAAAAATAAACAATTACTTATATGGTTAGTTTACGAATTAATGACTTCTACTTTAGCATAACATTATTTATTGTTTACTATATACATTGAGGAAAAGAAGATTAGCGGAGATAAGAAATTAAAGGATGACAAAAAAAATGAAATTGTATGGAAAAGCCTTCGCGTCGGTGTTGCTACCAGTAACTAGAAACTCTATTATCGTTTATCCTTCTACGCTCAAATTTCTAATTATTAAGAGAAATGAATGAAAAATATAATTTATGTACAAATCATGTTTTATAGCATACGGAATATGCTTCTCGACTTAATGCAATTGTAATAAAGCGTAATAAGCTTCTTTGTTTGCATCTCTTTCGGGACAAGGTTCAAAGATATCAATAAAAGCATATGGATTATTGCATAATGGAATATATTCGCCATCGGAAGTAACGATATTTGTAGGCGGTTCAACGTTATTTTGTTGATCCCACATAACGTTGCAGTACAAGGGAAGAAGGTCATCGATAAAACTGTATGACAACACTGAATCGCAGTCGTCATCATAATTATCATAACCAATACCGTCATCAACACATTCTGGCTGGTAGATCTCATCCTTACTATATTTGTTCGGCCCCCATTCCGTCTCTTCATCAATCCACTCGTTTGCCGTAATCTCTTCAAAATAGGCGTCACAAAGAAACGTCTGTAGATATGCGTCTATTTTCTCTTCGATTTCGTCCCCGTCGTCGTCTTCTTTTTCCGTCACCTCTTCTTGGTACAGAAATTCTGGTTTGAACAATTTGGTCACAATCCACCGACGGAATTTCAAATCTTGTCTCAGTTTGTACTCTTCTTTATCCTTTACGTTTGTGATATTCCAGATGCTGTCGTCGTCAAGCTTACATTCGTCATAATCCGAAACAAAGGCATAAAACGATTCACGGACGCTCATTGGCGGTGCTTTCTGAGCTAGTAATCTTTCAAAAATGTCCAGGCTTTCCTTGACACGTTCAATTGGACTTGACGGAGATGTTGAGCGAGAAGACGTTGATGAGAGAGATGGTGTTGGGATGGGCGAGTATGCGAGCGACATGTTTTGAAACGGATGAGATAAAAGATACTAGTGTTTTAATAATGGTGTGTTTAGTGAGGAATAAAAACAGGGAAAATTAGTGTAAAATAATGGATTAAAATTTCTATAATGATTAGATATGACTTTTGTTGATTTTTGAAACAAGAACGCTTTTCGTTCAATCTTGCTCTTGATATTAGATATATATAATATGTCCATTAGATCATACACCATCTGTGCTTTGTTGCATTTTACAAATTTATCATTGAACCGCATGTAATGGACAATATCTGATGATTAAGGTTCACATTCTCGTGTAGAAAATGATCACGGAACAATAACTTTCACATTTAAAGTACCTTATTAGTATTGTCTTCATTGGCTTGTGTATTTTGTGATACAATAATTTTTTATCATTCAGGTCTGCGCGCACGACGTGTAACACACGATTGGGAAATGCAGGGATACACAGAAAACATTAAATAATATTACAATTGCTTAAGTGAGATAATCAAAATGAAGTAATTTACTAAACGGGGAAACCCGGTTGCAAATGATCATTTTCAGCGTAAATGGCCTAGGCGAAGAACCCATTACCATTGTTGCAATGAGATGACGATATCCGTAAGCTTAACAACCCCTGAAATAAGAGCACTACATTAGTAAGTTAATAATACGATATTTTTAATAACGAATCACATATCCTCTACATCAACTTTACTGTTCAATGACATCATGATGCAAGGCTAATAATCCATTGCAAAAAAACCCCAACTATCTTTGTTATAAAAGCCTCGTAGAATTTCAATTATTATTTGTATTGCGTATCGTTATCATATCCACTCAGATTTGCACTCTTGTTTATTAAGTAAATATGTCACGAGTTTCAATTAATTATCGTTAAATATTTTAAATGTAAACATTATTCAGATTGTAAATTTACTCTAGGAATTAAATTGAGTTTTATTGGACGGAAGAGACGGAAAGTCGGGCTCCAACAATCATTGGCGAACCCTCATTGTCATTCTAAACTTTAATGCCGCCATTATTGCACGTGAAGTCTTCAATTCAAACCAACTGAATGTAATCTCATTTCTGGTATCGTGACTCGCATTCGGAAACCACTTTGGTCCGCAATAACGGTTAAATATTGAACCAAACATTAAATACTTGTACAAAATTAATTAGGTTGGCCTGAATCGATTTATTTTATGTAATTCGACAAAATAATAAAACGTCTTTTACTCTTAAATAAATCTATAATTCTCATGTTCTTATTTCAAGACTAAATAAGTATAAAAACAAACCGCGTATATAATTGAGAATACGCAGAATTAAAATCAACGTTATTTTACCATTTAGCGTTATTATGAGAGTATAATTCTAACTCGGTAAAATTCAGGATACGGTTAATGCGTTTATCCAGATAAATCAACGTTCGTATGTATTTAAAACGATTGAAGACTTTGAAGCTACGGCAATACTAGCGGAACCAGCATCGGAACGAATAACCGTATGTAATAGAAGCCACCTAAACGCCAATCTCACTTGACTTTAAAACTCGAGAATATCAAATGTACACGGCTAGTTTAATAAATTATGGACGAGTTTTATTAATTTATTTATTTCCTTCAAAGTAATTCTTTTATTTATGCATCACTTATTTTACAGTTTTGTCGTAATTCTTGATAAATTCATAAACCGTTCTCATTTTATCTATAGAAGTTTTTAATAATTTTGGTCTTTTTGATGTATCCTTGATTTTTGTTTAAACTGCTTCTAATTGAGCGTTAATGTTTATGTCGATTGTCAAGCATTTTTCGTTTTCGGATAAAATTCGTTTACTTTTTGTTATTAAATTTTCTATTCTGTATAAACTGGTTTTTCATGTTCTGTTTTTTATATATAATCTCAATTATTAGTTGATGCTGACTCGTACCAGTAAGCAAAGTTTTTCAAAACCATAAAATATATCTTACAATAAAAAAAAAAGAAAAGTAAATTTGGTAATATTAAATCGCTTCATCACTTTCTATGCTGACATACTCGTACTATTAGACTGGATAAGGTCATTAACATTCAATTTGGTAAATAACGGTAAATGGTTGAGCCAAAAATAGAAATGGTAAAGGGTTTTGTAAATGATTTTTCCATATGGTTGAGCGATATCATACCAATCCGTAGAGTTGTCATGTTACACATGCGCTAGTATTGTCAAGGGCAAGATCCATGAGTCATTGTCAAAATATGGTAACCAATGGTTGCACTACAGAGATGGCACAATCATATCGCAATAATACGTTGTTCCGTAAGCACAAAGTATTGTTGACCAAAGATATTGTGCCAAACCGCATACAAATAGAAAGACCCCCCGAACCGTTGTCTCTTTGTCGCGGACATCTCCTTTCTTCCCTCTTTACAAAAAGAAGTCAATTATCGTTGGATACCTCTTGGAAGGACCATCAACTAGTATTCGGGGTATAAAATAAACCGTCGCTACCAGTCGACCGTCAGTTGGAATTCATCAAGTTAAAAAAAAAAAAAACAAAAGCAAAAAAAAATTATTACTACGAACGCTATAGCCGTTATATGATCAAAAATGTCGATTCCAGCAGCAGCAAAACAACGTAAAGTACAAATTCGACATTCAGCGCTGGCCGCAGAAGAAATAGCAACGTTTTATTCCAACCATCCTCACGGCGACTTGGTTGCATCAGCCGTCAGTCTGATGCGACGGATGAAGTCTCTTAAAGAACCGACTTCCGTTATACTTCCCGAATTCGACCAAGTCCTCTCCAAAATCGAACCAGAGATATGGCAGTATCGATCTCCTGACTCTCCAGAATATAAGTTTTGGGTCGAATTGGTTGATCTGAAGATTAGGATTATCGAATTGAAAGACAAGTACGTGAAAGACATGGAGCAAGGGCGCATTGAGGGTCACACGCCAACAAAGGTTACTGCAGAGGAAACAAAAAGGAGGAGGAGATGGGGATTCTTGAAGAAAACATCAAAAGTTAAGATCAAATCGGATTGCGGAGACGAGAAAAGAACTTCATTGTGAGTATTCACGAAGAAATATATTTTTAAAATTTGTCCTCGTAAAAAACCTTACTTATCAGTCTTGTTTGATCATACTTTGCAGACTTCGATTGAAGGATATTTTTAGTCGAAATAGGCGGCCTTCTACTGACAAGAACTCGTTCAATGGATTTATACATCGTTTTACATTCTAAGCAAAAACTGATAATCTTTAATGCGAATAATGGACATTTTTATTATCAATTATTATTTGTATTATATCTAGGAAGGAATTTAGAGTTCTAAACCGATTAATTCATAATTTTTCGTTACGGTGGAGGGCCTCTGAATTAATTAACTATCCTTGTGTAAATAAAAAGTAAAATAAATATTCTTGGTTACCGAAGTAATGAACAAAATATAGAAAACCTGTCAGTGTTTCATCGATTAACCTTTAATTGAATGATGATACCAAATGATACCGAGTAGTTACCAGATCAGAAATTCTGTGGATCATCCCATGCGTTTCATGATAACAATAAGGGAGGTTATGTCACGTTATTGGTTATATGGCATTCCTTATTTGTTAATGATCCTTATCTTTAAAACTTAAATAATTTATTATGATAAAGTTTGTCAGAAAATGTTGTGAGATGATACAAAACCCCTGTTGAATGAAGTCTCGGTATGTTTTAGGGGTTATTATTATCTATGACAGCTGATACATTTAGTGTTTAAGCACCTGGGTAATTTGGTAACATTTCTAATTGCTTAATAATGGTCACCACCACTTTTCAAATTTAATTCTCCCTTCCTCAATGCCTCGTGCTCTCAGCCATCCAATAATGTCGTCTTCCATAGAAGGAGGACCACAAATAAACCATTTCGATCTCATCGAATGATCTCTCTCAGCGTCGACAATGGTATCTATGACATCTTTGCTTATCCTCATTCCATACGCAAATTCACTCTCACTGTTTGACGAATCCATACTCTCTTCCTTTGTAATATAGTAAGTACAGACCATATTACCGTTCCAATTCTTCCTTAAATTCTCGATTCTCTCTAAAAACAATAGTTCGCTATACGTCTTGGCACTATACAACAGTCTAATATCTCTCAGAATTCCTTCCTGATCTCCGCATTCACATATATAGTCCAGCATACTCATCAGAGGATTAATCCCGACACCACCAGCAATCATTACGACGCTTCTAGTTTCGTCATTCTTTTCTTCTTCTTCATTCCATACAAAATCGCCGCCAACTCTTACCTCGACCACATCTCCAACTTTTGCCTCTTCGTGGAACCACTTGGCAGGGGGATGCGTCGAGTGTTTCACTGCTAGCTGGAAATGTGGTGATAATGGATGAGACGTGAGAGAAAACCCGCCCACGGTTGGAATGTTTGGTATAAACACGTCTAGCCATTGGCCAGGGAGAAACGTGATTTTTGTGGGAGAAAGGTATGAAAAGAGAAAGGATTTTATTGTCGGAGTTTCCTGAGTTATGGAGATTATCGTTGCAGGTATTTTAGACTAAGCAGGCAACATGCACAATGTGAGGAAATGAATGTGAGACTATTGTAACAAGTTTTAAATGATGAGGGTTAAGCATGAAACAAGTAACTTTCTGAAATGCGTTATAGTTTACCTTTTGTCTTTGGATGTGACTTGTTCGTTCAAGATGGGTTGTGGATAGGTTCAAGATATTACTTTGTTGTCGTTGTTGTTGCCGAGACATCGTCCGATGGACATGTCTTTTAGTAAATTGTGAAACAATTCTTGACTGTAAATTGTCGTTTATCTCTCTGTATAGTCGAGTTCTGAACATTAAAGAATTCAGAGTGTATAAATTATGACGTTGATCTGTCCATAATAATATACACGTGCATAGTGTCCAACCAACAAGACATGCAAAGAAAGCAGAAACGTCATTACACCTTAAACTGTTCAACGTTGCAACAACGTATTTTTAATACGTTGTTTAACTCATTGACTCACCTTATTAATGCGAATAATGAACGATCTCAATGTGTTTCATTCTGTTGAAGCTTAAAATAGCATCGGTTAACGTTTCATATTAATATCGACAAAGTCTATGCTATCGTTCTCTTAACAGTTGCATTCAGTATTTCGATTGTCAGACAATACAGTGAGCCAATAAAGACCTCAAACCCCAGACAATACACTGAACCCTCTATCATTCAACCTCCATCAATGTTGCATCTTTCATAAATGCACGCAACCCTTCCATTCCTGAGCTGGTAATTAGGCGTAAATGCAAATCCGTCTCCAAACGCACGCCCGTGATATTAATCGGATTAGACGTAAATGCACCCTATAGACAAAGACCAAATAAAGAAATTACAGTGTCGCACAACTGTAGACAGACCAAATAAACTGGATGTTAGTGTCTTCTGGCATCCAATAATTATACGGATTAACCAGCTGTTGAATTTTGTAGGAAGCAGTCGGATTCGACTACTAATTATAATAGCAATAGCAATAGCTGATGACAGGACTAAGCCCAAATAATGATGTTTTAAAAAGCTCTTGACAAATCCATGTACATGTATTGCTATTAGGCATGCTGCAACAAAGCCAGACACAGTGAACATTCTATTATGAGAGACTGATGTGGCCTGAAAGTTAATGGATTTGCCTAATACTAATGACATTTTGACTGCTCACAGCTTTATCTTATTATTATATGCAAATTTATGTAAATAACAGTTTTAAATATATTTAGTTAATTGTGCTCCTTTTTCAAACACCAATCAGGAAAAACTTTGCCACCCATTCTGATTACATCAGAGTATTGTAATTGCATTGAATGTTTATTGTTATTATATTACAAACATTGATGTGCAGTAAAACAGATAATGAAAGAAATTCCAATTACAATTAGTTAAATTGTAATAATATTCTGCCATTTGATCCTACCCTCACAAAGAATGGATAAGAGTGTATAAAAAAGTGACTCAATGTCATCATCAATGGTATATTAAACTTCTTCCCTTCACAGATACTTCCTAAGATCTGGAATAATAGCTTTAAGTTAAATGAATGGCAAGAAATATGTATAACCCACAAGTAAAAACCTATACCTTTAAAGAGCAGTAAAGTAATGTTGCAGATAATTGTTTTGTTACCATATTATCTGTAAATGTAGCAATGCCCCAATCAATGAGGTACCCATGACTCTCATAGAGGATTATATTTGTTGGTTTTATGTCATGGTGCAAAATTCCATTCTGATTGGCAAATTTGATTGTGTGGGTGACATCTTGTAGGGCACAGAGTATGGTCTTCAAGTCATGCTGTGATGTTTCATGATGTTGGCCAAATGGTTTAATCACCATATATCTATACACTAAATATAATAATAAACCCATTATTCAACTATTCAAAACCAAAAGAAATTAAGAACAATGCTATCCAAACTAAAACTGGTATATTAATATGGTACTTACTTTTGACCATTATGCAGAACTCCATGACTGACTACTTGAGAAATTCCAATATTGCAAGGTTTTCAAGAATAATATGTTCATCATCATCTGTAGAAGCCTTAAATACAGCTTTCTCATTATAATGATCAGTGACAACAGCAACAAAAGTTCCTTGATCACTTGGTATTGGCCTCCTACTAATTAGTGATTTAAACTTGAATTTGTCACCAATTCTATCAACTAAATGCCTCTCATCTTCAGGTGAAACATAGCCTAAGACTTCTTTTGGTGATGTTACAAACTGCACCAGCATTCTCAAAGTTTGTGAGTCCCTATTAGTTAAATTTAGTGCATGTATATGTATGCCAGATCACTTGAATTTATATCTCCGGTCATGTGTATGAATTCAATATGTGAGTCACTGGCAATAGCACCAATGGCAAACTTCCTGTCTTGTTGGAAATCAAACATGTGCCCAAATCTATCCACTACCACAAGCTGTCCTAATGCTTCATGGTGATCTGAGACTAAATTGTGCTTTAGTTCAATTGCTGAAACAAGCTGTGGCCAAAGGGGTATATTTCCATCAAGAATGGCAATATCAATCTTGGCTGTTGGATCCTTAAGGTAATTCTTGGTTGATGCATCATGAAGAACCCATGGGTTTTGCTGCATTAATATTAATGCAAAAAATTTATTAAATTTTTCTTGGGTATCAGCTTCCTTACTACAAGTCATAGAGAGCTTTTTATTTTGTGATGATAGTCTACATTCTCTAAACATTGCCCAATATTTCCATAATAATAAAGGGGACTCATTGAAAAACTGTAGACCCACTGCACCTTCTTTTGCAACTCTATTTCCAATATTGATTGCTGATGTGATTGTATGTTGTGATTTGAGGATTTGCTTATTAAGCTTCTCTTGGTTTTCCTCCAGGGAACATAACCATCTGTGTGTTTCATTACCTTCTTCATCTTCAAAAGTTCGTTTGAGAGAAACTAGAAAAGTAACTCTATTTAGTGATAAATCCACAGTACAGAAAAAGCATATTCTTTGTCTAACAAGAGATGTATGTGTATGAATTCAGATTATGCAACAAACACGGAAATTAATTGAAAAAATATGAGTCAGAAAAAATCAACAGGCAGCTCAGTCATATAGTATATATTCATACCTGGAATGCCTGATAGTGGATTGAATAAACAAAATGATAGATGGTGATTTATGATTTGAGATAAAGTTAGCAAAAAAAAATAAAACGTTGCATAATATCAAACAAATATATACCTGTTGGTGGCTCTATAACAATGTAGAAGCTTTCATCAGTAAGATCATTATCTGAAATTGTATTAGCAATTTTTGATCTAGGAAGTAATCTGCGTTTCTCAGCCTCAGCTAAGTCAATTTGCATGGTTCCATCCCCTATTGGTACAGATACGGCCCAAAGTGTAAGTTCTGTTGCGTCAACATTACTGAACGTATGTTGCCTCTCCTCCCATATCAATTTTCGCAGGTGGCTGACTGTTTTGCTTTTTTCAATGTCAGCTGCAAATGCCTTCTCCGTTGGTTCACCCTGCACAAGACAGAACAGAGAAATGGGGTTGCTCAATAGATGGTGCCGCGACCTCCATAGCTATCCTTGCGGAACGTCTTGACCTTAACCTGGCCGTTTATACTATTCGAAACCGTTGTGAAAATTCAAAGTAACCAATCAGGAACTTGTATCCGCCAATTTTAATATAATAACGCCATCATTATCAATCCCATATTAATATTAATATTAATTGTCCGGAACAAAGTGAACTACTGATGAACGGACAACTCATGATAATGATAATAAACTTATACATCTTGTTAAACTTTATCATTCTGCAGTCATAGATTGTGAACAGATGTTTAATTAACAAGCAATGTTTGTATTTGTTCAAAGTTTACTATCAGTTTAATACAGCTGACGCTGCCTATACCGAACTGACTGGCTGGAGAATTTTAGTTCGTTATAACCAGAGCTTGCGTTATAACCGGATTTATTGATTAGGAAAAATCGGGTCTGGCGATTCTAGTTCGGTATATCCAGGTTCGGTAAAACTTTAAAGTCGTCTTTCACATGAACTTTTTCCACTAGCTATTTTCCATAATATTACTCTTCAAGATTAGAAATATCTGACTTCACTCCTCATTTATACGATTCATTTTCAAAGGTGCCCAGATGCTATATGCTGTACTGCCTTTCACCTCTTGGGGTAGATCTAGTTTGTTTTAACACGCTAGACAAATATTATTATAGTTGCGGTCGTTTTGGGAGATAATTAAATTCGTGTGATTTCTTATTCAGACTCAAAAAAGTCATTTAGGCGAATTTACACTTTCATTCTTTACCGTATTTTAAAAATATGTTAATTTATGAACTTTAATGAGCCATTAGAAAAATGGTAAAGAAAGTTTGGAGAAAGGAAGCTGATTAATTTATCACGTACTGTAGGTGTATTTACCGACAATAACAAGGTAAAGGGGGGTCTTACCTAACTTAGCTCACGTGTTATTATGGTAATTGTTCACTCAAGATTGAGTGCCAAGTTTTATGAGCGAACCTTTCTCATTTAATTATGCTACTCTCTATACAATGTAATTCCCGTACTCGTATTCAAATAACGATACTTACGACTAGAATAACAACAACAATTATCATATCGGAGAATTAAAGAGGAAATTCTTTATTATAGTAAATATCGATTTGGTATTTTGACTAATCAGAGTTTCATCACATGTATAAAATTAATTACGTTCTCCTGGATATTGTTGCATTCATTGCTTAAGTCGTATTGCTTGTATATTGCTGTAGCGTACGATTTACGGTCCAATGGCCGTTTACCTTCATAATACTTTGTACAAAAAAAAAAGTCTATACAAAATGTAGAAGTGAATTAATTCGGAGCAATTAACTCTACAGCATAAACACGTTAAATTATTCCCTGGTTGACATTCGGCTGATGTATTGGCAGTACTTGCATTGCGAATAAAATACCTCGCGATAAGCAGCAATACTTGCAGGCGACTCGACTTGCTGTTAGTCTTCAATTGGAAGTTACCTACCACATTTTCTACGCGAATAGTAACTAGGAAACGGGAACCGTTGTGAGTCCGGAGCAATCAATAACGTCATCATCAATCACAATCATTGGTCGAGATCATGTGCCGCACAGAGAAATTCATGTGATCGAATTTTTCACGGTGCGCAGACCCTTCGCTTTGCTCCGGACAATAAGTAAAGGCATTGGTCAATCCATGCAAATGTAAAATGGGGAATTTCAGCAACGCAACCAACAATGCTTGTTTTTATATCTGCGAATTCGTGATGAATTACTCGATATCGATTATTAACGTCAGATAATTGTTTTCTTTAACTTAAATTTAAGTTGGCATTAGCGGATAAGGTTTACCATAAGTGATCAATCACGTAAGCCAACTACAAATCACGAAAGCAAGGCGCTCTATCTCTTTAGAGACGGATCCGAGTGGAAACCGTAACCGTTTCTTTTATCGTGACATTCTTTGTTTGACGGTTAGACATCGAGAAGTCTCTGCTACAAGGGTACTTCTTTCATAATCACATTTTACTTTTGCCTGTGACCGTTGAGGCATGGAATTTGCTTGGGGGTAGTGTTCTATAAATAAATGACTTAAGAAGCCTGGTCTCTTGGAATATCCCTCGTTCAAACTTCCAACGTCGAACGTTTTAGTAAAGCGTGCCAAATACTTTGTATGGGAACTTGATATATTCAACTCATCCAATAAAATTTATCTTCCCACAGTCGTTGTGTACTAATCTTACCAAACCAAGATTTTATTTCAATTATAGTTAATCCCGGAGACAATTTTATTCAGCACGCTGTTTGCTATATATGGGCAAGCTTGGCATCAGTTAAAACTTTACACTGCGTATTTTTTTACACTGTCTTCATGATGGCGATTTGTTATCTCTTCGCGGGATTTGTTCTGTGCTATAGTTGTCATGTGTATGTTCTGCTTTACAATAAACTCTTTGCAGGCATGAGGAATATAATGTAAACTTTATTCTTTTTATAGATAAGTAGGTACATCGCGCTAAAGCATTTCCGACTTTATTTATATGCTTTAGCGCATTTGCGGTTACTTGACTTGATCAAAAATAGTAAACAAGCATTTAAAAAGCTGACGTATGATTATTTGACCTATTCGCTATTTCATATTGAAAGAACGGCTAATTTGCACCGCCTTTCTAGGCTGGAATTCTGAATTAACACTTGTTCACTAAAAATGAACTGATAGTGGCGACGGTAAATGGTGCTGCTTGACTTCTTTATCTAACAGCAAATGTACATAATCAGCTAGTATATCTTTTCGCTTATTTAAAAGGATAAAGATTGCATATGTTAGAGTGATAATCACGAAATTACAAATTTCTATTGATCAAAATAGGCCAATATGGTATAATTAGACATAATAACAACAAAACTATATTCTACGCTGGTGATAAATCAAGAGTTTTTCTTTTTATCCCTACTATGCAGTCACCCTCTCGCCTACATATCACATCCATCACATAGCTACCCTTACCCCCACCCCCCTTTATAAAAACCCACATACCCCAATTTACATCGAACACTCGGATTCTCACGCATTGACTATTCCTTCTTTGGTCGTACTATCACAGTCTAGAATGGTCTAAAATATTTTGTTACTCTTCGTTGGCAGCTTGTGCAACGATTGGATTTATTCGCTCAATATTTGGGGACGAGCGATTGTTCTAGGCTTCTGTGTGATAAAAGGTTATCCCGACTGCGGATGACAAATATATTTGTTTGATTACTGCGCATTAAATGTAAATCAAGAATGAAAGACTGTATCTGGTTACAATTATTGGTAAAGCTTTGGAAATCGGGAGATCGGTTGGCGTTTTTAGATCATGTTTATTTTTGGCTTTTTGGGAGAGATCGTACTGAATGCTGATGTAATGTATTCGTACATGTGTAGCCTTTAGGTATCTTGTATATGTTTAACAATTACAAAGACATTAAGGCAAACGAAAAGTTAGCGGCTCTATATAGTAGTTGAGATCTATGGTACAATAAGACAAAAGCAAATTATGCAGGCGTTTTGTATTTGTGCGGACAAATTTAGTTATACAATTTTCATAATTATAGAAACCCCTAAAATTTTGACGAAAATTATGAATACCAACTAAGTCTGCGATTATTCACTTGCACTCGACTTCTTACCCTTTCCGTGGCACTTTTGCTTGCTCTCTTGGTAAGTCCTCGTGGCTCTAGTGCCAGTATTCACAGACAAGGCTGCACGATTACTAACGATTACTAACGATTATTGCTTTTTCAGTTACCTATTACATATTGAATTCAGAGAATATAACATGGCCAGGAAGACTTACGCTGGAGAATAGTTTATCTCCATTGCGACGGTTTGTCTCATAGACGAATTTGCCCTCAGCTGAGGCACTGGACGATCTCGACACTGCTATAGAACTCGAACCCGACGATACCTTTGCGCTCAACACACGCGGCAGGGTGTATTACATGATGGAATGCTGCGCGGATGCACTCGCAGATCTGGCTACAGCACTCGCAGTCGTATTTACTACACGTTGAACAGATTCGAAGACGCACTCGTCGATTTAAACAAGCCATCGAACTCGAACCGAACGACACATCTGAGTGTTCAGAGTGCTGAATGTCGATTTGACTGGGATTTGAGGCAGGATCCTGAAAAACGTGTTTGCACTGTGAGATGTACAGATCGTTAAAGAGATTTGATGAGACGTTGGCAGAGTTGGACAAGACTCTTGAGATTGAACCGAACAATCAACTTGCATTGAAGAATAGAGGGCTTGTAGAAACAACACAGGCTGTAATTTGTAATTTCGTTTTCGTTTTTTCCTTTTTCACATGTACAAGTCTCAAAAGTGTTATCAGTTTTACATAATAAACAGAGTTGGCAGACGAAACATAATGCGATAATATATTGTCTGGGTTTTATTCGAGTAATCATGATCGAAAACGGCGCGCGCTCACTTCCCGCTTTGTGATAATATTAATATTATGCTAATACGTGCATCTTCTCTGAAGACATTTCAGCAAGATGTTTTCTTGAAGTTTTTTGAGTGTCCTTTGGTGAGATATCTTTCCTATCTTCTGGAAAGATTTCTGATGGAAATCCAAAAATATGTTCCAAATGGTGACGGTCAATAACAAAAACAGGGTGGGTTACAGCAGCAGAGTTATCAGTCAGAAGAAGTGATGAAGATGTGACATACAAATAAATTGTATCTGTTGGTAGTTTCTTTTCTCCATTTTTGGTTTGACCTAAGGCCTCCATGCCACACAGCATTTTCTGTAAAAGTCTAATATAGTATCACATCCATTCTTATTAGGTTCAAACAAATCAAAGACATTACAGCTTCTGCCATCATAATAACTTCCTGATATTTGACCAAGTACAAGAATTAAAATTCCTTTTTCAGTGTAACCAACAAAATCTGTGGCTATGTGGCTAGTGGCCTCACTTATTGACCAGAAGGTCCTTTTTCAAGTTTTAAAGATTCTTCCTTGTCATAATCCTCCTGAAACAGAACTCGTTGAAACTCCAGAGAAATATACTTTTTTATATTCCTCTTTAGTATTAGATTCCTCATCTCAACATTAACTGTAGCACCTTCAGGTTGAAAATAAGAAAAGAAGGCAAGCTCCAGAGAAAACCACTTAATTTGAGAAAAGGATGCCTGTTTCAACCAAAAGCAATAATTGTAATTGGTTAAACAATGAGCATAAATTATTAATAAATTACAAAGACTTACCACTAATTTGAGAAGATGATTTCGTTGTTCAGTAAAAACTGCTATAACTGCATTCCTTGCCTGTTCACAAACCATTTCATTTTTGTGATTTACCAGACCAGTAGACTCAAATCCATCACCTACAACATTTGGCACATGTCCACCAATGATGAGACGTGCAGCATGTTGTAAGTCTCTTACTTTCTTTTCATTATTTAAGCACTCAACAATGCTCTGCACATGTGCTTTATAGTACTTTAGAGTAGCTTTATTATATTCTCTGACCACATTCTCTGGAATATCCTTGGTTTGTGTTGGAGCACTATCATAATCAAAGGCAAGAAAATTAATAAGTTAAAAACAATTAAACAACATCAGTGAGAAAAAGTAATAGTAAGCATACCATAAGTCAGCCCATATTTGAAAGAGGAAACTTAAATTTTGTGCCATATTAATATTTATTACCTGTTAACTTCTTGGCCTGCTCTTCAATTCATTGGAGATTTCTGAAGAAAAAATAAAACATGTTACAAGAACATAGAGGCAACCATTGAATCCTTATCTTTTTTTTTTAGAAATTTACCAATATTCAATCCAAAAAACCCTGCTAAATACTTAGCAAGTTTCCTCAATTCCATATCATTAAGTTGGTTTACTGTTGTATTCAGCTAATAGTCACCATCAGAAAATTAATATCAGTCAGGGCTGAAGATATTGCAATGAGAAAGAGGCCCCTAGCAACCCTGAACAAACTAAAATTTCCAAAGACTTGTGCTATTGGATGATCTGCCACTTCATTGGTGCTTTCTTCTATGAATGCATTCCACTGGTCTATTGCAACCAATACTGGAATTCTGTTTGTAGGTTGAAAGGACAGTGAGAATAAACAACAGATTATTTTTATGACACACAATACTTCTTACCTTTTGATTGTTTTACATATTTTAAAAAGAGACTTATAAGCTCATTGGAGTCCTCCTTGACATCTTCTTTGTATTTTCTAAATTTATCCAGGATTCCCAAAGCATTTTTAGCTGCATAGTCAGCATCAGCAACTTCTTCTAAAATGTTCTTTGTCACTTCCATCTGAACATCAAAGAAAACAGTTAAAGCACTTTCTATCATTACAGTATCCATTAATTCCTTGGTTATGAGACCAAAAACACTGTCATTAGCAATTTTGAGCAAAGTATGGAGTATAAGAACAGACAACTTACCTTTAGGAATGTAAAGGACTATCCAACGATTTTTCTGGCTTTCCAAACAGCATAAAGTGTGACACATGTTTTGCCCGCACCTGCAGGTCCTTCAACATATGTTTTTCCTGACGTATAATAACCTTCTCTCAGAAATACATTAATTTCGTCCATTTCATGGCGATAAAGGAGCTTCAGTTCTCCACCCTTTGAAATATTGAACAAGTCATTGCCGAGAGGTTCTGGTATCTCCCCCAGGTGTTCCTGTGTTATAGTTACCCACTCTGGTGGGTTTTCATTATTTAGTTGAGTGTTAGAAATTGGCAAAGGTTGTGTCACTGGATCTGACTCGGCCATTTCTTGCTGAATGTGTGTGGGAAGGAAAAAAGATTTGCATGAAAATAAAAACAAAGTCACGATCATCGATCGGCTGCGGCAAAAAAACTCAGCCCCAAATTGATTATAAAGAAGCGTCTTTTGAGAGCGGTTTAGATATTCTTTTACAGTTTTTGAGATACACAAGAGAGAACTAAACGGTGAATAGTTCTGACTTGAACAACTTCTATTATCACTATTTTGTTTATTAGAGCAACAGTTTTCGAGAAAAGAGGGAAGGAAGATTTTCGTAATTAGTACATATGTACGTAAATGGGTAAAGCGAGAGGACAATAGTTTCCCTTATACGCTTTGAAATACAACTTGCCGTTACAACAACAGCCATGAGTTTACGTAAATACCAACTGTCTTGGCTGTCAGTAATATGTAACAGTTACATTAACATGTATGCTTCCCATTGCACAGTATCTTACGACAACAAGTTGCGTTATTAGTCATGCAGAGACGTGAAGAAACGGGTGCTACTGACTAAATTCTTTCATAGTGACCTTCATAATATGATAGCGTATTGAGAAATTGGGACGTAATGGTATATGCTGTATGAAATGACGATTAGCTTGTCGAAGACGCGAAATCAATTTTCGTCATCAATCCAACGACCAATATTAAGTACGCATAAACGGCTGGCTTGATTCTTCGAACACGCGAAATCAATTTTTGTCGTCAAGAGCTCATTAATAACAAGAATCCAATGCTCACACGTACGTTAACATAACTGTTACCAATGTATGTGCAAAAAATTGACACATAATATTAAGTACAATTTGAATATGCATAAAACGGATGGCTTGATATCATTATAGACGAATATTATATGCACGCACTCAGTTCAGCACCGATTAAGAAATGGGTTTTCTGTAATTCTAGATTCGCATAACATTCTTAGGTTATCTGAGAAACAAACAATTGAATATACCGAAAAACTAATATTGCGGAAAACCGATAACTCGCAAAATCGATACTTTATAACATTCTTAGGTTATCTGAGAAACAAATAATTGAATATACCGAAAAACTAATATTGCGGAAAACAGATAACTCGCAAAATCGATACTTTTTTTTCCATTCCCGAAACATCTATGAATTAGTCAGCCGCTGCAAACCGCAATTTTGGGGATGTGTTATAAGAGGTATTTGGGGGATCTAATAGTGTCATCTTTAACTATCCATTTTTTTATAGTAGACGCAAGCAGTATGAACATGGAATACACGGAAATTCGGCAAAGTCATTGTTAGTGGGATAGATATGAAATATGGGCCACAACGGTGCGACTAATACTATAAAAAAAAAGCTAATTTCCCAACCACAATAGGCAATTTTGAGCAAATGTTCACTTTGTCTAGTTTTGTTGTAGTCTGCCCTAATTATACGTCCCATTAAACAAAGCGCAATAAAATTTTTTTACATACTGGATCTCGTAATCATCTCACACCACTGTTGTTATCGTGTTTATGTGATTAATACAATCTAAATCGTCCAAAACGAACAATATCTTAAATTGATAACAATTACTTATTAGTAATACAGGATTTCTCACGCTAAACACGAGATGATGTGTTGACAACTGTTGATAGAATTCGTTATATCCACACGTAATTAACGACATATGAAGAGCGTCATGATGGAATATGTGAGAAGAGCTAAGGCGTATTTGGTTTTATTCATTACCCGTCTGTTTGCTCGCAACGCTACAATTCTTCGCACGACTTGTACGATTCACAAAACTTGGCAAACACTAAACTGGTTCGCCTGCTTTTAAAATCATGACAAATAAAACTCGATAGTATTTTGTTCCGATTCAAAGAGCCAGCCCCGTGAGGGATAATAATAGTACCTGCCTGCCTGGTATGCGCTATTTATCGTTAGTTTTATTAACTCGCTGTCTGCTAATTTATCGTTGCTATTTTGTTACTGGTCTCGGTGAATTATAGTGAGGCTTATATAATCAAGCAACAAAATCTCGCTTGTTCTGTTACTCTTGTCTGTCGAACAAACAAAAACAAACGGATAGTTGTGTCGAACAATAGGGCCAGATCGAATATTTTGTGTTGTAGTCACGTGTGAGAAGTAGAAGCTACTTTTACTGGTTTGGGTTAAAATAGTCTTATACACCTGGGGATACACTGTAATTAGCCTGAACAAATAAAAATTTATGCTTAAGACTATATTGTAATTTGTAATTGTTCACTCAAATGCCGCGTACAGGGTGTGAGAATAACCCCAAAATATTCGCGGCGTATGGATTACAAAAGCAAACTACTAGCCGATTGATGAACACCTTTTCTCAAGTGAATTGACAACACTAATATTATTGATTCATGCAGATCGTAAAATAAACCAGCTATAATCACTTACTATAAATCATATCACATACTCGGGAGATCACATTTTACTATCCACTTGCGCATCATCACCTTCTCCACTCTGAGTCATCCCTCTTCCCCCACCCCCCTTTTTTAATTAACGTTCGATATTCCCTCCCTCGTCTTTTCCATCCCTACCCCACCCCTTTCAACCGAACATTTACCCTTGCTACGATCATCTTTTCTTACGCCCATCGGACCATCCGTCTCGGCTATAATTTTTGACGTATATGTCGTTTTCTTATCTGGCCCAAAAGTGCTTGGGAGATGAAAAATCGATAAAATTAATTAATTGCAGCATTCGTCACAACGATTTTACATTGGTTGTTGAGTTCATCGTGATTTGACTTGGGCTTTGCCCGAGAAGATTCTCTGTACGACGAGAATGCGGCAGAGAATGTCCTGGCCCCGCCTGGACACAGTAGACAATAAAGAAGCGAAACTCTACGCCTGGACACAAGATGATAGATCTTTCCATGCGCAAAGCCCAGTTCATGTGCTACTTAAAGAAATGTGTGAATGTGAAGGGGGGGGGGGACAAAGATTTGATCTCACAATTCTAAATTAAGTTTATATTTGTGTGAATGAAATGAAATGAGCGTAAATTCGGTAGAGAAAGAAAACCTTATCGTTCCGATTCTGCGTCAATCAAACTTTTTGTATTACATGTAGAAGATGCGCATCCCCGTGCATTATTTCTAAGTAATAGATTTCCCCACCCCCTTATCATTAACATTAACATGTGCCATTTCAAGGATGAAAAGAGCGAAAAACCCTTTAATCTGTTCCTTTAAGCAATGAATGACAATCGACTTCCCAAATATAATAAGGATTTGCGGATATTAAAATATACCTCTATTTACGTTGCATCAAAATGTTGTGCATTGGAAACCTAATCACCCGTTTATTAAATATTACCATATTTGAATCGAGCCGAGTTTGGTCCATTTGCGGCTCACTCTTCCGTCTACACGGATATAACATTTCCCAACCATTTATACGTTTGGCATTATTGACGCAGTGTATGTAATCGTTCGCAACGGCTTGGGATTCAATTTATTCCATCACGGAAGACTCCGTTTTACAAAAACTTAATTAATTACCTAATTAAGAAGCTCTAATAAGCTCAGGAAGCAATATTTGTCAAACGGCGTTCAACATTTTATACTTGCCCCAAAAGAGAGTGGTCTGATCATTAACCGTTTTGCACATTCGCTTAAAAAACGGAACGGCGGTTAGATAACAATGTATTAACATGACTCACATAAACAAAAGACCCAAACGCCGCCAGTCTATCCCCGATTCCTCGATCTCTTCAGCCCAGCCAAGAGTCAACGTCGACATACCGAGTCACCTGATCTGTGACGCGAAACGAAAAACTATCGTTATGGAAAGTGTTCAACTTTTGTTTTACCAAGCAAACATGGAATTTCAGTGATAACAATCACTATATTAAGAGTCTCAAAAACATGCACACAAAGAAAACCCAAGCCAAACAAAAAAAGTAAACTCGGGTTTTTCAACAAGAGAATGCAATGCAAGCCTGCCCGGGTAACCGCGCTTTTTAACCACGACTTTTGCATTAATATCTTGACGCTAAAAAGTCTTAAATGGTCTGGGATTACCCATGGGAAACCCGAGTTTTCTTTTTTTGATGGGGTTTCCAAAGATAAAAAGATAACATTTTCCCAAAGCACATTTAATCACATTGCAACATGTGATCTCAAAATAATACGGTTTGTTCAACGAGCTTATCGTGGAATAGGAAACATGCACCAATCGATGTGGGGCGTGCAGATAACTGATATCACCTATCAACAATGACGCCTCATTGCGGCAAAAAGGAATAATTAAGAGGGGTAAAGTTATTATTTGCTATCATATAGCATAGATGTACTATTAATGAGCAGTCATAAGGTCAATCGTTATGCGGATAAAGGTCATTTGATCCTCTCTAATCGCGGGTTTACTCCTGAACAGCTAATAATTTAACAGCGAGTGTGAGCATTTTGGGTGGCGAGATAAGGCAAACGATCACACATATCAATAGATTATTAATTAGTTTGCTTTGTTAAAACTTATTTATATTAACTGATTTCACATCCTCAATTTTTAACTCTTATTGTTATTATCTACTATTTAACATCGTTTCTTATTGCACAGCACATAATCTTAGACAAGGATTTGGGGGGTTGACTTTTTTCTCGTAAGGTGTCGAAATATAATCTATTATTCAGATATAATACACATTAAGAAATAAAATAAAATAAAATAACAAATAATATAACGAGAAGATGATGAAATTTGAATCTACAAATTTATCGAGAAAGAAAAAGAAGGGGGGGGGGGGACTCGAGTATTTACAACGAACCATAGCCTTGAATCATCGAGACTCAAGCTCGGACATTACATGCATGAGAGTGGATGAGTATTATAAAGTAGTGGAATGAAGACACAGTTTCGAACAGCGAGTCATCATTAGAAGGATCATCAGGCTTTTGCTGATACGCGTTCTAATTCACTCCGCACTGATTCTAACGTTGCCGGTTTTGCCAAGAAACCGTTCTAATTGAAAAAAACAAGAGGGGAAACGAGTTGGTGAGTGAGCGAATTCCAAGAAGAATAAATCATTGACACGGATCGTGCGAGTCAGTCTCTGAATCACTCACCATTCCACAATCGAAAAATCTTTGAGATTTTTTATTAGTAGTATAAGCAATTATGGGTATCTTTCTATTTGTTTCCAATATTGCCGTTTCCTTTCTTATCACGACGGAAGTCTCAAACCCGTCTAATCCAGGCATATCAATGTCCATGAATATTAAATCATACGTATCCCTCTTCAACACTTTTAATCCTTCCGCTCCAGATTCTAAACACGTGACACTGTGCCCGAACTCTCTTTCGAGCATTTTGGATAGTATCTTACCAGTTACTTGATTGTCGTCTATGACGAGTGATTTTATGGGTGTAAAGGAGGAGACGGAAGACGAAGAGGTAGAGGAGCAAACAGCTCGATGAGACTCGGGCAGTACTTTTGGTGTGGAAACTGTTGCAGTCATGACAATGTCTGATGGTGAAGACGAGGCGTTCTCGTCTGAAAAAGTAGTATGTGGTGGCAGCTCTGATTTTTGAAGAGGGCTGAATGACAGAAAAAGTTGGATTGAAGGAAATACAATTGATAGTAAGATACCGGCCGTGGTTGCGAGGAAGGGGACGAGCGGAGGGGGGGGGGGGAGAGGAAGGAAGAGTTGTTGTTGTTGTTGTTGTTGTTGTTGTTGTTGTTGTTGTTGGGGAGAGAGATACAAGTCTGTGCTGTGACACAAGTTCTCTGATATGATGAAGGTAGTAAATATGCAACAAAAAATGTCGCTTCAAAAGTGTTATGTGTTCTTATAGCGTATGTTTATTGAAAGCGAAATGCGTACAATGTTGATTGCGTCGTTTGTATAAGTATTTATACTAACAACACCTTTTTTCCCTTTTTTCCTTATTTCAGTTTCAGAATTGCGATTCTTATCGTTTTATTAGCAATACAATCATCAATTTGTGTGTTTGTAAAATGAAAAGTCGTAACAATGGTAATCGTAAGTGAAGTGGCAGTACGTTGGATGTTTGCAAAAGAAAGTTCAGATTTATATATCTTGTAGCAAAGGTGAGAGTGTACATTTGGTAACTTGCCCCTCGAAGGGCAGATGTGATTCTTATATATAATCAGTTATAATATGTATAATATAAATAACCGGTAAGCCATTATGGGTAATAAATATAACATGTTAATGTATATAGTAAAGTATAAAATTTTTATTTATGTTATCCCCTGCCATTTCTTGTTTATATTAGTAGACTTCTAGAGTGGGCGGGGTGCTAACGCTAACGAATGGATGCCCATAAGACCAAATATAGTAAAATAATATTATATGCATCGCAGAATATATAAATATAAATATGTACATGTTAATATAACATTTCCATTGTATCACCCCCCATTTTGTACCTACTTATAAAAAAGGGTCACTTTTTGCCAAGCGCAATGGCCACCCTCTATTTTATCACAAAAAAATCTTGCAAAACATTGCCCCAGTCCAATCTGCGGTCACAGTTTATCACCGCCATCTCTGCCATCACAGCCATCACAACCATCACACCCATCACACCCATCACCTGTCACAATCTAATTAGGACAAGATGGACAAGGTCTACACCTAACTCTGATATTAATTTTCATGTCGCTAATAAAGAGCGAGTCGAAACGCATGCTTGAAATTTTGACAGGCCTGTTTGTCGGCTGCATTGAAGTGACAATACGGAAATGTTCGGCTGTAAGGAAGCTGATTTCTTCCTCGAGAATTTCACGATCGATCGATCGATTGATCGTTATCGTGGGCTTGTCATGCACACTGCAGATTATTAAAAACATGACCTAGCCTTCTCATTAAAGAATCGCCTGCGATATGACATTTCAACGTGGAAAATACGATTGACCTTTTGTAGAACCGAACGAGTCACATTGGAACACCGTTTCAAATAGAGTCATTTAAGTGTTCTAAAACTTTATTGTAATAATATAAATGAATGCGTCAGATGACATATGCATTAATGAATAACATGTATAACATGTAACGACGTAACTCATAAAAAACCTGTCTAAAACTTTCCCCACTTTAAAAATATATACAATTGGAATCTGCTCAATTGTATAGAGGACAGTCGTAGATAAGATGGTCTTTCAAAATGTCAGGAATAAGTAACAGTTATTAAGAAATAATTTGTACATTACTGACAAATGCAACACGTTATGACGTTGCTAGTCTCTAAATGGGACTGAAAAGCGAATGCAAGGGAACATTCTCTTGCAGTTCACTTTTGTCATCATTTCATCCAGAACCTGTATTATATATTCTACTGGTCACCACCAACAACAATTGTTTCTGACTGCGTATTGTCATCGTCCTCTATCTAGGCCAATGTTTGCAGAAAACTCACTAAATGTACGCTTTACTTTAAGCTGATGTATTATTCACTATATGGCTAGCCTTGTATGCAAGTTTTTATTTGCTATACTTGATGTGTCGACGAAAAAGTCAGGGATTTAGAATAGCAGGTGTGCGTGTGAGACGGTCGTGAGTAGCGTGTGATAAATACTTACACGGAACAAATACTTTTTCAATCTTGTGTAGGACTATATTTATTACTATTATTTATCTCACCATTCCCTTACCATTAAGATCATTTTATAACGATATTGTTATTACCGGTCCTGTTACCGTTCTTGTTGATTCCTGTTGTTTTGTTTTCTTATATTATTATTGTTGTTATCATTATTGTTGTTATCATTATTATTATTATTATTATTATCATAATTATGGCACATTAATGCCATTATTATCGCTCTTAAATATCATCACCGTCAATCTTTATAATCATTTGACGCCATCAAATATTATTATCATCATTATCGTAATGTGTGCAATATTCATAAATTGGAGAGAATCGAGAACAACGCACTTGTCGTATTAATGTGTAATTATGATACTGATGCCAATAAATGGTGTCTTTTCGCCTCCACGGTCTAGAATCATCATGTGGGAACATAAGGTGTAACAAGTAGATCAGAAATACATGTTTGGGGTTTTGTTCAAGCCCAAGGCAAGATCAGACACAGACATTATATTATTATTATTATTATTATTATTATTATTATATATTGTTTCCATGTACAATGCCATACGATTATAGAACGTATGCTAAACACGTGGAGGACTAATCTCTCGTTCCAATTCATGGGTGGTGCTTAATTTGATTCGTAACAGGCCTGGATGTATATTAAACAAATAATCTGTTACATTTTAAAGCGGTAATTCTTGGCCTCTCTAACCTCATCATTTTCCTTATATATTTCTCTCTTCAGTCACCGATCCACTGCCCCTAGCCTTTCTTTAATTTCTATCAGGCGCACAAAAAATCCGCCACACTTAAATTGCTTCACAACATTCTTGGCCAATCGATTAATGTTATTTATATGCAACCATATAATATACCGTTGCGTTGATATACCACAAATTTAATTACATAATCAATTGATCTTCCCCAGATCGTGGTTTATCGGAGAATTTTTGACCCTTGTTTGAAGAAAGACTTGTTTGTTGTTGTATGTGATTGTGATTATAGATCAGTAGCAAGTGATTTCGCGCGATCGAGCGATCGAGCGACTAGGCAAGTCTGTTTGTTTACCATAATCGCAAGCACTTGTACGTAATGACTTTACGTTCTGATTCTTCGATATGATGCAATCATCACAAATAAAGCTGATTCTGGTTCCCAGGTACCCGACTTTTTCGTCCATAAATGACAGGCCTGGAACCGTCTTACATAATACGTCACTGGAGAGATTTTGGTAAATAAATAAATCAAAAGTCAAATCCTTTTCCATGTTCGATTATCTATGTTATAGATGACATCATATCTACGACAGGTAACGAGTATCGCAAAGATGAGAGCATTTTATCTGCTCTATAAATCTAGTTAGTTTTAAAACTTCACACTCATGCAGATCGTTGAAGAGTGGATTTGTGAAACGCTTGTCCATCTTGGCGTACAGAACGAAATGGCAGCTTGTCTCTGTGTTCCGCATCTCTTTCCTTTGAAATCGCAGAGGGCGTATTTCAATCGAAATTCGTCTATAGACGAGAAGCGCAGTAATGAGATATCTATGATGAGTTGAACGTCGGTTGACTAGTTTATCGAGCGCAATCTCTGATAGAGATAGACTCACTCGTTTTCAAGCCTTTGTTTTTCCAATACTCGAGATCTTTAGCTTGCATTGTGTCACATCATAACCGTTTGATTACTGTGGAGAGGGGCTGGAGTTTGTTTACTCTCTCCCCCATCCCATTCATTTCATTCAAATTGTTTTTAATATAACGATTTGTACGTAGCAGATGCTACACATCTATTCCTGAAAGAGTTAAAACTCGGAGAAGAAACATAGGTTTTCATTACCATAACAACAAAATAATATATAATGTTTGCAGTACATGACATGTATCTACAACATGCTAGAACAATTGCTTTATTGGATTCATTTCCAGGAATTGAATGTGTTGCGAAATAAAAAGAGTATAGTCTGTGTTATTCATGCCGATAGTCTATTAACGTTAATATTGATTACAGCAATTAGGTTTCAGATAACACCCCTGAACTTTGTTTTTTTTTTATATGCAGTAGAACGCCTTTTTGCAACTGTGTGTAATACATTAACGGTGCACTTCCCGCTCTTCAAGTGCATGAATTGACGGGGGCCGGTTTGCGACCCGCACGTAATACCGGTTATCTATGGTAGAACATATTCCATATGAAGTGTGTTATGGGTGATACGTGATAAATTTTCTGTCAATCATATTAATATTTAACGTAATTTGCCCAAGTCAATTTTACTTAAGCTGGACCCGAGTCAACTTGCATTAATTGGGTTTTATTAAATGTAGGAAAAAAAAACATTGGAGAAATAATGGTAATCATGTGGTCATCGAATATACTTGATGGGAATCTAGAACGTGGCCCCCGACCAAATGTCGCCAAAACGTATAACTAATAAGAATAACAAAATGTCTTTCTGATGTAATAAAATTTATAAAAGCCCCAATATTCCAGAACTTGAAATCTGAATGTCCAGCTCTTTTTCAATCAAGGCATACAAAGGCTATTGCAAATAATCAAAAACGATTTATTCATTTATGTTATTTGGAGGACGAACGTTTTTTGATGCAGGTTCCCATGATCCTATCAATGAGAACGAGCTCATATGACTAACTTAAACCACGATTTATTGGTGCACCTATTCCCCCCAGTCTCCATGACCGACTTGTCTCGTCAGGTAATGTCTAAATTATCGATCGAAAAAGATAGGTTCTCATATTCATCAACATATTTGTACAAGTATTTATACATGAACAATATTTACGCACAACATAATTCACAAGTCTTAAACTTGTGCACCAATAAATTTGTACACCGATCACAGTCGCATCCAATGTAATACAACAATTTTTATAAAATCCAGGCCGAGAATTAGCTGTTAGTAGCGATTCTATAGGAGGTCATTTTTTAATAAAACATACAAATTATTGCATCATAACAAAGAACGGGGGAATTACCAAATCTACTGAAAAAAAAGGGTCACCGCCTTTTGATATAGAAAAAAAAAGGTCTCTCATTCACGAGAATACATGTGACTGTGCTGCAGAAAATTATGTAATGTTTGTCCCCCCTGCAAGCCAACTGTTACATCTCGTGATGATTCCGTAGATATTAATACAGATGCGAGTATACGAACAATGAACCCATTCATCTGGTTGCTATTTCAAACAAGTTCTATCAAATTGTGACGTCTGTTGTTTGCCTCGTGTGTGTTTAATAGCATCTGGGGCGTAGACGCTAACCAATAAAAGCCTGCATCATCCCTCTTGCAGGAAGAGAGAAACGACAGCAACGTGTGGGCACTTGCTGGCACAATGTGATGTGACTTGATAAACAGCATTGTGCATCGAATTCACTGGAAGAAAGTAGATAAAGAGCGATTCGCGGTGGTTGATGACTAGATAATACGTCACTCGAAACTGGAGGATGAGATCAAAGATCGAGAATTTTAATTCGTCAAAAAAATTTTGTCGTGAGAAATCTTTTCAAAAGCGATTGTGCTAAAAATAAGGTGGCTAAGTTAAGCAGCATATTAATACGTACGTCAATGAGAGTTTTGCGTTCTTTATTGATATACGTACGTCAATGGGCAGGCTGGGGAAGCTTTCGTATTAAGATGCAAGCTCTCTTATTCGCAAAACCAAAAGTGACAGTATCGATAATGCCCCAAATATTTCAGGGATTGGCATCAGCGTATCTTTTATACCCCTGTATCTAAACGTGTAAATATTCGGTAATCATTATAATAGGACATTATGGTGTCGGTTTCCTCGACAAAGTGATCACAGTAACACAATTGATTCTGATTTTGTCACAATCAAATCTTAGTTAAGTATCAACGCACGTGCAAGTTTTGGAGCGTCTCTTTTATATAGATAGTCACATGAATAAATTCATTCTTTAATGCGATGACTGGCTCGCGTTTCATTCTGTTCAAGTCAAACTACTAAAAACCGCGAAATTCGTCAACATTGTGAAGGAACAGATATATAAATTTCTCTGAAATTCTGCTAATCTCGTGTCAGTAAATGCGTCAAGTTGTCGATAGTAGAGGAGGGCCGGCATCTTTCCATTGAATGAGGGATCATTCTTTTAGTATGGAAAAGGTTTATATTGAGTGATGAGCAACTCGTCAATGCAACCTAAGCGGTCAGGTAAACTCACCACGGTATGTCATGCTCATACCTTACGGAAATGTTAATCTGTCGTGTCCCGTGACAAGTTGTGAGTCGTCAGCCGAGACTACTAAATTCGTATCGCTAATGAGAGAAGTTAACTCCCCTCGTCTCAGGTCAGCAGGTCGGAACCTGCGCATATAGCAGATCTTTGAAGTGTATACGACTCCAGGACTCCCATTATCACTTAAGACGATGAAAGACATGTTAGACGGTTTACCGTCCAATATTTGCCATGTATCAACATATAACATGATTTGTGTACTTGACGGTCTTTTCACAATTCAAGGAGTCTTCTGCTTCATTGTTTCGGTTCATGAATTCAGACGATGGCGATCTGGGAATTTAAGGATAACTCGAACGATGAATCGACGTTGCATGTCACTAGCACCGGGTGAAACGAATAACTACATATGACCAACCGTATCATTTGACTTTAGGGCTCGAGATATAATCATGCGCGCATGTAACGGGCTTCATGGGTAAAGGAAAAAAGCACAGAATTGTAATTGTAGAAGGTTTTATGCAATTTCGTCCGCTGTAACTGTCCCTTGTCAAATTACTAATGAATCAATACCGTTAAACAGGAATAAAAGGTGATTTATAATTTGACCCTGTAGCATCGATGATACTGAATAGGCCATTTCACAACCACTCCCAACTCTTCCGCAGCCCTAAACACCCAACTACCATCAGCCAGAAACTGCCTTCCGAGTAATACAAGATCTGACTTTCCACTAGCAACTATATCATTTGCAAGCTTTGGTTCTCTAATCATACCGACCGAGCCAATAAGTAAGTTTGTCTCTTTCTTAATCTTTTCAGCGAAGGGAACTTGGTATCCGGGACCAACAGTAATCTTTTGCGCGGGCGTATTACCTCCCGACGAGACATCTACAAAGTCGACTCCAACCTCCTCAAGTTTTCTCGCCAGTTTCACGGAATCGTCGACGGTCCATGACTCTTCGTTTTCGACCCAATCCGTGGCAGAAATTCTCACGAATAATGGCTTATCGTCCGGCCATACCTCTCGCGCTTTTCTAGCAACCTCGACATTAAACCTTATTCTATTTTCAAACGACCCACCATATTCGTCTGTACGTTTGTTTGAAATAGGTGATAGGAATTCGTGGCCAAGGTATCCGTGAGCATAATGCAGTTCGAGAACGTCGAATCCTGCAGCTTTTGCTCTCTTAGCTGCATCAACGAATGCTTTCTGGATGCTGTGTATTTCCGGAACGGTTAGTTCACGAGGATTTGCGTGTTCAGAGTCCCATGGGATAGCGCTTGGTGCGACTACGTTATCGGGCCACCCACCATATTCGGGAGGGACTACGAGAGGTAGCGTAGGATTACATTGCATAACATATGGTACGTTCGTCGTGGCCTGGATCACGTAAAAAATAAATCAAGGCGTTAGTTATAAAGAGAGAGCGCTGTCGTGATAGGATTGATAGTTTGTAAACCCCGATGAGACTGTTCAAGCCAAACTCTTAAAGTAACAAGGCAATCACCTTTCTTCCTGCATGCGCTAGCTGAATGCAGATCTTTATGCCTTGAGAATGAACGTAATCGACAATCTTCTTCAACGGCGCGATGTGTTTATCATCCCAGATGCCCGAGTCGTGAGGTGTTATTCTACCTTCGGGACTGACTGCTGTCGCCTCAATTATCACTAATCCGACACCTCTTAGAGCAAACTGACCCAGATGAACCAAATGCCAATCGTTTAAAAGACCATCATCAGAGCTATACATGCACATTGGCGATACTGCTATACGATTGTGGAACGTCACTCCCCGGATTGTTAATGGAGTGAATAGAGGTGGAGGGTTTGGTGAGAGAGCAGATCCAGCTGGTGGATCTTGTGCGGGGGTATAGTATGGTACATTGGGAGCAGGGGTGTTGAACGTCTTCATCGATGCAAATCACACATAGCGTCATTCAACGTATTTATACTCTTTATCATTATTGAAATATGCTCTAACTAAATTCATACACGTAGCATGTGCCTATTTGATGATGCAATGATGATCACAAGTACCTGAATGTATTCATCGTTGCTTGGTCCAGAGCGTGTCTGTCAACCGAGTCGGTCTCGTAAAACTTGACGTCAACAAATCCTGTAAGGGAATAGGCTCGCCGCTGTCAGACCAGCTAACTCGAGAATTGCGAGCACCATTATTATCTCTATCAAGTTTGCTTTGCATTGGGGGTAGTATAAATTAAGTATAAAATTTAACTTTTATTTGTTCTCCGACAAAACACCCTTGGATAACGCCTAGCTTTATAACCGCAGAGTCCACGAGTAATTTTTTCTGTACGAGCCGCTACTGGACATCAGGGATACTCGCGTGCCTTATTATTATGGATTTGATGCTGTTGAAGCGATAACATGACCATGTATTGAGCAGTCTTGGAACCAATGCGTCGTCGGACCATTCTTTGAATGCAAAATTCGGTAGCAATATTATAATTTGACATTCAGCCAGTTTATAAAGATACTCTTGTGAATGGCATAATTTACAATTTAGCTGATAATATTGATTAAATATAACGTTTCCGCTTATTATCTTTCTATAAATAGTTCTTTACAAGTAGTGACGATTAATAATCCATAATCAGATGAAATGATCTACTTGGAATTTACTAAATAAATCGAAGACAGTAAAGTTTTTTTTATTAACTAGTTTTATTAACATCTGTATATTATCTATTATTTAGCGGAGCAAACGCAAGGTGCTAATATGGTATGGCTAATGCATATACATTACAAAAATTAAGGGCCATCAACTTGGTAATATACGCGAAGAAGAGCTAGAAAAAAAACTACACGATGCTATCAAATCCAAAGCCGAAATTAACAGCTCAGTGAGAAATTGCAGCATAAATACATAAAGCAAATGAAGGCGTTTGATCGAGAAAGAAAGGGGTGGAATCGGGATTCGTTACGAAATAATACGTGGTTGTATTTATAAGGAAAAAAATTGTGCATTAAGATAATTACTTCACAAAAAATTTAGCGAGGTTTTGAGAAAGCTTTTAACAAGTTCAGTCCCGGAGAAGCAATAACACCGACGACATTCCAAAAATCCATAACGAACTACGATGACGATGAAGAATGCTCAGAACGCCTTTTGAATCGTAAATGGCCGGTAACTCAATGATGACAAATAAATTTCAAGATAATAATGTTATTTTTCCACCGATCTAGCAACAGACAAAAGATTTTTTGCATGCTTACAATATATGTTCAAGGTTGATACAAGGTTACGAGAATTTAATAGGTTTTAGCTAAGTGGTCAACGGAATATTAAGCTTGTAGCGGATTTTGTTAAAAATAAAGGCTTCAAAATAAAATATAGAGATACAGATTTTTTATTTAGTTTGTCCAGAAGAATATTTCCAAGAATGTGATACAGCTTATGATAATGGAAATGGAATTCGAAAGAAAATACTGGAATGAAATGATAAAATTTTGTATGAGAGCAAGTTTTTACAAGCTTAGCAACCAGCCACAAGGTTAGTACACAGTGAAACTCGATAAGTCGGACACTCGATAAGTCGGATTTGGCTCAAGTCGGACGAAATCTCTCACCCCTTTTTTTCATATTTAAATTTTTCTCGATAAGTCGGACGACATATATAAACTCTCGTTAAGCTGTAAGTCGGAC